AGTTGGGGAAAAGTGGTTAGTTCATATAGTGATTTGCAATAATAGACAGAGGTGTGTAAAGTACTGTTAATAATCAGATACTATAACAAAAACAATCATTCGTCTCAACTGGGGACCAACTGATCATTACATGTAGGCACTAGGACACAAATATTGTTTTAGTGTCATATGATAATAGAATCGAATCTTCTTCGGGATCAAACAAATTCTCACTTTTTCCATGGATTATTACAGATAATGAAACTGATACTTGTGTGTTTATACTTTGTCAGCAGTCTGATACCCTACATGACGAGGTCGTTGATGATGTGTTTATCAATGGTTTAATTTTGACATGGTTAATTTTTCTCATTGACATAAAAACATGCATACATTCATTTCTCATTTTCTCGACATAAAACATGCAAATTATAACTTTATGATGATACTCTTTACATTTCATATGTAGGCGTCATAATCTGAACTATGTTTATCACTGGATCTGTTCTAGACGTCATAATCTGAAGAATGTTTATCACTGGATCTGTTCTAGACGTCATAATCTGAAGAATGTTTATCAATGGATCTGTTCTAGATATCATAATCTGAAGAATGTTTATCAATGGATCTGTTCTAGACGTCATAATCTGAAGGATGTTTATCAATGGATCTGTTCTAGACGTCATAATCTGAAGAATGTTTATCAATGGATCTGTTCTAGACGTCATAATCTTAAGAATGTTTAACTTATTCAAATGTGGATATTAGCTCATTGTCTGGCTGAAAGAATAAAACCCATTTTACCAAAAATTAATAATACAAATCAAAATGGCTTTGTGATGGGTAGAAATATGAGATATAACATTCTCCTAATTAATGACATTATTGAATATTCGGAAAAAAATAAACTTGATGGAAGCATATTATTTCGTGGGCTTTCACGTTTTCTACACTAAAACACTTTGTTTTTAAAGAAAATTTTATGAACTGGATATTAACTTTATACACTCAGATAAACTGCTTAGTCTCAAATAATGGATGGTTATCAGAACATGTCAACATTACACGTGGTATTAGGCAGGGATGTCCGATATCAGCACTTCTCTTTGTTATAACGGTAGAATAATGGCCACCGAAATTAGGCAAGATGAAAATATACAAGGCACAAACATCAAACACACACAAAGCAGGTACTTGAAAATCTCACAATCGACCGATGATACTACATTACTTTTGAAAATTAAATCAGATGTAACCAAAGCTCTTAACATAATTGAAATTTTTGGTAGTTTATCAGGTTTAATTTTAAACAGAACCAAGTCACTAGGAATAAAATTAGGAAATAATAAAAAGTTGATAAATGATAATCATGAAAGCATGACTGAACAAAAGAAAGCATTAAAGCATTAGGAATCCATTTTGGATTAGACTTTTAGAAAATAGAACAATTAAACTGGGAAAATAAGTTAGAAAAAATGCAGAATGTTGTAAAAGTATGGAAAAAAGGAAATTTACTATGATTGGGAGAATTCAAATATGTTAATCACTTCTTTTACCAAAATTAACATATTTAATTTCTGTACTATCTGTACCAAAAGATGTAATGAAAAAGGCAGAAAAAAATATATATGAATATATTTCGGACGGGAAAAAAGACAAAATTAAGAGAGAACAACTTGTATCTATCAAATGAAAGTGGGGCCTGCAAATGTTAGATTTAGCATCCCATGTTGTAACTATACAATCTAGCTGGGTCAAAAACTAAACACTGATAACAGTTTATGGACAATCATACCTAAACGCCATTTAAATCACTACGGAAATAACCTCTTAATTTTTTCAATGAACTTAAAAGATTTTAAAAAAACTTAAACGAGTATCTTAATATCCCTTCATTTTACAAAGACGTTTTAAAATCCTGGATTGCAATAGGTGGAGGTGAAAGACAGTATCCAAAAAAATTGCAAATGAGTTCATTTGGGGAAATCAATTGATAAAATATAAAAACAAAGTACTAATATTTAAGAACTGGATTGACAGCTACATCTTACTAATGCAGGACATTCTGGATCAAGAAGGAATAATTAGTGAAAACATTATTTCAAATAAACTGACAAATAAGAGAAATTGGATTTCACAAGTTTCTATAATAAAAAAAAACTATTTCTAAAACACGGAAAGAAAAACTAAAATATTCAAACATAAAAAAGTACAAAATAAAAAATGATAATGATTTTCACACAGTTAAGTTCAAAATAAAATGGAAAAAGTTTGTAAAGACAATACTTCTAATAAACAAATTTATGACAATTTTCTTAAAATAAACTCAACAGAACCAATTGCATACAGTGCAAGGGAGAATGAATTTGCAGGTATAAGCACATCAAATAAAGAAAATAATTAATTTCACAATTACAAATATTAGAGATAACAAGGTTCAAATTTGTCGATGGAAATTGACACACATAATATTACCTAATGTTCAATTACTCCATCAATGGAAAATTAAACATAGTCCGTTATGTAATGCCTGTGGGGTTATATAATCATATGATCATTTCTTCACAAAATGTAGATATATTGTAGCATTTAAAGCAAAAATGAATAATCTCTTTGAAAAAAATGGGCTACAAAAAAGTTATGATAACTTTGCAAAACATTGTTCTCGGATACAAGATTACCTATGAAAAATATAATGTAATAAATTTCTTGTTAACCTATATAGCTTATACGGTATATAAAGGCTACTATGTTAGTGAACAAAAACCGCTAAACATCAACATAGAAAATATTCTAAAGAATGAACTGCGTATGACAGCAGCAATAAAAAATATACCGGAACCGGAATTCCTTATCCTCTCCGAGTAGCTTGTAAACCATTGGGTATTACTTTTTAGATGCGATTCCTTTTTGTCCACACTATTCGAAGATATAAGATTCCAACATGACATCACATGCTCTTCTCTCTAATTCCACTAATATAATTCTCCTGAGAGTTGTAAACAACAATAGATGTACATCGTATGCACTGTCTGTAAAAGAAATAGTAATGGGTAGTTCATAATATAAACAAACACACGTGTACCCTTGTACGCGTAAGCGTATAACGACCTTGACCACTCCGACGGTAGCTTCATTTGCATATATACCCAAGTAGCCATTAGTATATATATATGTATAAATGAAAATTAATATTACTATTGAAAGTCTTTGTCTAATATCAAAAGAAATTTTCCTCCATTGTAGTTAATAATTTAAATGGAAGCAGGTAGACATGGTCAATACAGGCTTGTATGAGACAATCCTTCACATGTAACTGTTTATATACTAACATAGGAACTTGCTACAAGCTCACTTTTTTGTATGTGAATTAAATTTCCGTGTTTAGTGAACTTATACGTATGTATTTTCATAAAAAAAATAAAGAAAAATTCAACAGTATACTTACTTTATGTTGAATGTAACCAGCTTGCTTATGCTAGCTGGAAATTTCAGGCTGCATGGGTTATAAAGGTATGCTTAGTAATGATAAATTTGATTGTAAAACAAGTGATCGGCACCTTTGAATAAATATTAACAAACTTAGATATAAGTAGAGGAGAAGTGATTGTGAATTAAACTGCATTATGCAGCTATCCTATAGGATTTGATGCCTTAGGCCCAAATGGTTAGAATCTTATAGGATACTAATGACGAAACGTTGTTGAAATAATGTCGAAAACCCGATTTTAGGTGCATTCACCCAAAAACTCAATTTATTGCAAGATTTTTAACATATTGGAAATATTTCAAAAGAACATTTCCATCTTTTAGAAATGATTCCAATTTTCGCTTTTGATGAGCAAACATTTCTTTCCAAAGAATATTAAATTTTGTACTACTCTGTACAGCGAACGTGTTTTCTTATGTGGAGAGTGATATGTAAAACATAATAATCAACATAATCATAATCCAAACTCAAGTTCTATAAAACTAGGGCAAGATATAAACGAAAGAATGAAACTCAGGAACTGCTGAAAAAGTACAAGGAGAATAAGACCAGGTGTAAGTACGAAGTTGAAATCTTAATTGCAGCGTATTTAGCTAAAGACAAAGCGAAATATATTATGAATGAAATACTGAAAAGTTCTGGTTGAAAATATCCTCTTTCAATTATTCCTATTATCAAAATGTTCCTCGGTCGAATGCGAGGTTTCAAAATTCAGGCCAAAAGTATCACTGAAGGAAGAAAAATATGTATGATACAGTGTTATTCTCTATTTAGGTCTTCTGTATTTAACTCCGAAATGTCTACTTACTCATGTTCCATTTGTACAAACTTGTACAAACTGTCACTGTTGATTTGAAAAGATCGAGGTAGACAACTGATGTGCATAAGTTTGTTCTTCAACTTTAAAAAAAGAACGCATCTATACTAAACAAACACGTTGATGAATTTGTGTAACATTGATATGTCATATCTCATACAGTTTCGGTTTATTACCACTGATGTAAAAATACACATTTATTAACAATGTTTGATTCTTCTTTAGTTATAGCCGCGAAAGGTTTTACAAAGGGCACATAAGTGAATAACACTTTTCAATAAGAAATTAAGAGTTAGATACAAGTACAGCTAAATAATAAATAACATTGCATCATACAGATGTTTGGCCATCCCAGGAGTCGTCAGTGATGTTAGAAGTGGATAGTTTGATTATTCCATTACGTCACTGAAGGAATCCGGCATTGAAGATAATTGATATGAACCGGTCATTTCATTAAGTGTACCAGCACTTTCACAACAGTAAACGGTTTTATGACTAATCACTTTTGACCATCCGTTGTCGTCCCATATACAGGTACCTGGAAGAAGCGCACCTGATGCCAATATACGTATGTACATGTTTACATTTCGGCCGCTCTTAACACGCTGCTGAAGTTTAATTTTAGGAAGTGAAATTTGCGAGATATGACTGCTACTATAAATATGGGGATGGTCAGTTGTACTGGAGATTGCTGTCCTTACGATGATAACCAGTATGGGTCTGACTAAATTAGTGGCGTGTCTTCTATCTCTGACAACAATTACATGTGGTAAGTACATTATAGTAATCATGCTTCACATTTTGCATTTATCTGTTATCTTGATATGAATTTTGAAATAATTGGATTTTGTTATGATTTTATTCGCCCGTGTTAAGAGTAGAGTTTACATTATTTCTTCCATTATCTTATTTTATTTGCTCATATCCTAGATTGGTGCGATATTGAATGCAATACACGTACACAAAAATATTCATTAGTCGGATATTTCTAACAGCTATATTTGTATAGCAAAGAGGAAGAAATATTAACGGAATAAGAAATACGTAACTTGTATGAAATTTGATAACGTACAGTTAAAAACTGTTATCTATTTTATTACGTAGTTTGATTCGGTCTGTTAAGTTCAGGAAAAAGGCTTCCACGACATAAGATTTAGTTTGATTTAAAAACTTAACACACTTAATATCTTTATCTATCGATAGGCTAAGACGTGTTTCATTGGTATAATCAGTTTGTAGATAAATATTCGTAGGCGATATATCTAGATGTAAAATTACAGGATTGTACAAATGACGTAAGTGAATAACAACTGTCTATAAAAATGATTTTACAAAAGACATAAGTGAATAACAACTTTCTATTCAACACTAGTGAATAACAACTGTCTATAAAAAAAGATTGTACAAAAGACATAAGTGAATTACAACTTTCTATTCAACACTAGTGAATAACAACTGTCTATAAAAAGATTTTACAAAAGACACAAGTGCATAACAACTTTCTATTCAACACTAGTTAATAACAACTGTCTATAAAAAAGATTTTACAAAAGACAAAAGTGAATAACAATTGTCTATTCAACACTAGCGAATAACAACTGTCTATAAAAATATTTTACAAAAGACACCAGTGAATAACAACTTTCTATTCAACACTAGTGAATAACAACTGTCTATTCAACACTAGTGAATAACAACTGTCTATTCAACACTAGTGAATAACAACTTTCTATTCAACACTAGTGAATAACAACTGTCTATAAAAATGATTTTACAAAAGACACAAGTGAATAACAACTTTCTATTCAACACTAGTGAATACCACAATTCTATACAAAGATTGTACAAAAGACACAAAAATGAATAGCACCAGTGTACATATAATTCTTTGAAAATACTGAATAAAGGGAGGTAAGTCATACATAAGAAATGAAGGGATTTGACATTCACACATCATACACACCAAACACATAATGTAGACATACATTTATCATGATAAAAAAGTGCATTATTAACACTATTATACAATAAGGAACATTGACGCATTTTGACCTTAAATCCTTGTAAATGTAACTGCCATCACCGTTGTCTACCGGAACAATTTCTTAAGTACTCAAACATGTACTTAGTAATTTACTACTGCATATACATTAATCAACAGCCATGTTCCATCAGTATTTCCTATATATTTGATCAGGAAAACAGAATAGATAAGTAAAATGATACATGTAATCATGATTAAAAATTGAAACTTTTTTCCCAATAAATAATTATGCTGATTTAATCAGATACATCTAGTTCAGTAACATGAAATTTATTTGTAAGTAGAGTTTATTGGGATGTGCGGGATGAGGTTGTTCATTGTCAGGTGAAGTAGTTGATATATTAGTAAAGTGATTGATAAGAAGTTCTGCCTTGTCAATACGGTATATATATATATTTGCCTTTACGATCGTCATAGGTGATTTCATTTAGTAAGGATCTATTGCTTTGTGCGATAAGAAGCTGGACTTTTTCAATCCTCATTATTTTTCCTTTTGTTTCCAATTTTGTACGCCTTGTTCTCACTTGAAAACATTGAAAACATGACGTTACTTAATTTTGATTGACCATGTTACATGAGAGGAGACGTCAACTCTTACTCTTTCGGAACACCTGGTCTTTTTTTGTAATTTATCATTCTATTCAATACAATGAGTTGATACAGAGAGGGAATATACAATGAAACAGTCTATTGATCATCCATGCAAGCCCACGCACACCTTTGCACACATGACAGCTCTTATAGTAGCTATTGTTTGTATATCTCAAGCAAGACATGCTCATACACACAACAATCAAAAACAACTATATACTGTATGCATACACACACATAAACAAACTGTTTCATACACAATCACTATTCATTCTCCCTTGCATATACACATATACATACTTATCTATGAACAAGTTGTTTCATCCACAGTCACTTTTCATTCTCTTTTGCATCAGAGACATACATAACACACATATGTCTCTGCTTGCATGTACACACATACATGTTTCTGTATAAACAAATTGTGTCATACATAGTCACTATTCATTCTCCCATGCAGATACACACATACATATTTATGTAAAAACAAATTGTTTCATATACGGTCAATATTTAAGTACTTAAACACCACTAACACCCTCACTCATACATACTCTCACCCATCAACACATACACCCTCACACAGACAGACATACACTCAGACAGACAGACAGACAGACAGACTAGACCAGATCAGACCTCCTGGCCAGACCAGGCCAGACCAGACCAGACAAAACCAGACCAGACTGATAAACAATATATTTGCATATAGTCGTAGGAATGTATACATATAAAATAAGATAATAATGAGCTTGCTACTTAAGCCTGTACTTTTTCGTGGATAAAAAATAAAAAACAAAAAAGAAACAGCTTCATTCAGGTGCAGCCTGATCAATTTAACTTCGACCGAGCTATCAACAAGATGTAGTCAGCATGGAAGTGCTTACACACTCATTGTATTGGTTTTTTAAAAAGTTTTTTTTCAAAAGGAAGAAGAAAAAGAAAGAGAGAGAGAAAAGACTATATACATAAGTAACAACAGGATATTTAGTGGTTGGGATGGCAAGCAAAAACTAATGAAAAAAATATATAGTTCTGTTTTAATTATATATATTTTCATCTTTTTGTGTGTGTGCAGGGCTACTATGGGTTATTTATTGGATGCTAAGGAGCTGCATATGTGACTTGAATAAACTGCTGTCAAATATGGATTTTTGCCACTGATGCTATGAGTTACAACTTGATAAGACCATCCCATTTTCTCCATTCGTTTTCAAATTTTGTCTTTGCTTTATCATCTTTACCATTTGTTATGTATTTTTGAACTGTATATGTGTCCTTTATTATATTTATTATTGCATTTAAACTTAAAGAGCTATGAAGACATTTTGTTTTGTATACATACTGTTTTATTAATAAAATAATTTCATTATCAACTCGGTTGCTGGGTAAGAATTTATCAAAAATAATTCCAAAAAGAAAAGAAAAGGAATATAAAGAATATTTAACAATGATTCAAACTTTTGCAATAGTTTTTGTACTTCTTGACATTCCCACAATATATGGATAATAGTTTCAGGTTCTGAGTTACAGAATGTACAGAGAGGGGAGATAACTGTTTTGATTTTAAACAAAAAAACATTAGTAGTCAGAATGTGGTGAATAACTCTGTATTGGAACCACATAAGTTTTGTATTAGTGGTGACTTTAAATGACATCTTGTAATAGTTCTCCCATGTTTGTTTGTCAATGTCTTCAAATAATGTATTCCATTTTCTGGTTCCTGATGAAATCAGTTTAGACTTAATTAATGCTTCATAGAAAATTTTTGAGCCTTTACTGTCTTTAAGAAAAGGATCTAAATTAGCAGGAATGTAAGGATAAGATAGTGTGGGTAAAGGAAAATGTGAATTGTGGGAAGAAATAAATTTCTTCACTGAGGACAGAAGACTCTGATATTTCAGAAAGTTTGTATTTACATTATATTTTTGAATAAATTCACCAAATGAGTAGAAAACTCCAGTGTTTGTGTCTTTAACTAAATCATTAATTACAAAAATATTTTTGCTATAAAATTCCTTATAAAACAATGATAAACCAGCTATTTTTATCTCTTTATTGTACCACAAAGGTGTTTTAGTATCTGTTCTTGATGAATATTATTGTAGTATTTACTATTAAAGAGATGAAATATTTTGAAAACGTCTTTCCAAAAATCATTTCTACAATTTTTACTACAATTCTCAATGTGCTCGCTCCCACAATTTGCAAAAAGACCCATATTAATGTAAGATTTCACAATATACTGCCATTTAGCCGTGGTTTGGAAAAGTCTTCTTATCCAAGTTAACTTTAAGGAATTACAAAAGGCTAAAATATCAACCATTTTCAAACCTCCATTTACATGATTCTGCACAATTATCTCCCTTTGAATTTTATCAGGTCCCCCATTCCATAGATATTCAAAAAACAAAGAATTAAGTTTAGCAAAAAAGGCATTATCAGGATTAGGTAAAGAAATGAAAAGATGAGTAAACTGTGATATAAGTAGCGACTTAATTATATTGATTTTTCCAATCGGAAAAATTAAGTTTTGGTATCTCGTGGAGATTCACACTAAATTCTATCCCTAATAAGGTAAATTTTCTCCTACCCCACTGCAAATTGTATTCTGGTAAAAAACTGTCATCACTAAATTTTTTATTCCCAATCCATATAACCTGGGTCTTATCAACATTCACTTTTAAACCTGAAAACTTTGCAAATATATTTAGCTCTTTAATTGATTCTTTTAGCGAGTTTTTTTATCCATCAAGTATTAGTGAAGTATCATCTGCAGATTGTGATAATAGAAGTGGATAATTTTCAATTTCAATCACCTTAATGTTAAAATTTTTCCTAATTCTAATTGCCAAAATCTCTGCACAAAGTATAAATAGATCTGGTGCGATTGGGTCCCCCTGTCTGCAGCCCCTCTCGATATTAAAGAAAGAAGAAAGATTACCCCCCTGATTTACAGCTGATTGAGCATTTTTGTGTAACGTGTTAAACCAATTAATTATACTGTTACCAAAACCAAAGAAAATAAGAACTTTTTCAATGAATGACCTAATAATGTTTCCTTTTTATGTGACCTTAGTTTTTCCAATTCAGTCCTCTTGGCATTTAATTCTTCTATATTGACATTATCTGTAGTTTCAAGGTCATTAATTGTTTTTTTAATATTTGCTTCCTGTAAGGTTTGCATTTTGTTTTTGTATGAAGCATAGGAGATAGCTTTTCCACGGATTTCCAACAGTAACACTTCTAAAAATAGCTGGTCATTTATTGTAAACTGAATTTCAGAATTAGGAATGTTTGCTAGATTGTTTATGTAATAAACCGGTAAGCAATATTGTTTATTGGAACACCTGGTCTTATTCAACTTGAATATTTTTCTATATATACATTTTTCTTTTGTTCATATTTTACCCTGGTTTTATTGCATTTGAGCTTGGATTATGATTATATTGAAATGTTCCTATCTTTGAGATGTCTTTTAACATCACCAAATGAAGCTGAGATAATAAAATGGGAAATCAGGAGTAAGCGTATTTATCAAAATACGCGAGGTTGTAGTATTTCATAGCGGAAGCCAAAAAAATTAAACAAATAAATATAAAAGTAGAATTATATACAGTAGAGGCTAATTAGGAATTAAACAGCACCTTATTGCTGATCACCGTTATTTCTGAAAAGAATAACGAAATAGTTTCTGATGTGTTGAACTTCTATTCTTGTTGACAGCCGGATTTACCCTCGAAGAGCAGATATCTCGTATCGTTGGGGGTCAGGAATCCGACGCTAACGAATGGCCGTGGCAGGCTTCGCTACAGTACAGGGACAGCCATATTTGTGGTGGCTCTCTTATTGCACGTGACGTAGTTCTCACAGCTGCTCACTGTGTAGACTTTGGCGTGTAAGTTATCACTTTTGGACTTTTGTTGTGGCTTTTGAAGACTCATCGACTGTACTGTTTTAGGTGTAAGAACTTTCACAACTTACATCTGTACGAGAATGTGCTAATGGTGTTAAATATAACATTATGTTTATTAAATTGTAAGCTGTAGTAATGCCTTAAGGATATCATTGATATATCATAACGAATGTCAGTTTCTGTAGTTTGTGTTACCACGGTCAATATGTTGTATTTAATCCAACATTAAAATTTGCCAAATAATTTGATTTCAGTGTATAAATTACCTCAACTTCAACGTCTTGTATCGTTTTCTACTGCGTTTTTAATATCTAATTTGAATATGTAGGGCCATTCTGCATTTGAAATCGTTTCTCTGTGTGGTGGGGGTAGAAGTGTGTGTGTGTGTGTGTGTGTGTGTGTGTGTGTGTGTGTGTGTGTGTGTGTGTGTGTGTGTGTGTGTGTGTGTGTGTGTGTTGTGTGTGTGTGTGTACTTGAGACACAAAATAAGGATAATTACAGTACAGGCATCACAGGGGCATCAGATACTAACATAACAACATAATGATTCTGGCTTACAGGTCAAGTGATTTTTCCGTAGTTCTGGGAGAGGACGAGTTGGAGAATTATTCCGGATATGAACAAAAAATTCAGGTTTCCCAAATTATCATGGTACGTTTTGGTTTCGAACGTAAAATTATGATTACGTTTCTTAAATTTTCTTTTTAGCGAATAAAGGAAATTTTCAACGGTTGAATCATTTTTCAACACATGTTCGAAAGATCAATCGATTAGTTACCGACATGACAGTGAAAATTTTTTTTTAAGATTTGATAGAGAAAATGTACACATTGTTCATATTTAGCAACGTGACATGTCTTGCTTTGATTGACCAAGCTTTACATGGCGGGTGTCATCGATGAAGCAGAAAAAGGTTACTTTTCTGGAACACCTGCCAGGGCCCGTATTCATGAAACCGTTCTCATGCTCAAGCATGAAATTTGCGCTCAAGCCTTATGTCTTCTTTATGTTAAAAATTAATAAATAAGGCTGATTTTACCAAAAATTAAAAAAAAAACAAATTGAAAGGACTTCAAGTCAAAGCTTTATTCAATGTTTATATTTGATATTTGTGTTATTTTATATGATTTAGGTGAATAATTAAAAAAAGTTTGCTTCAGCACAAAATTCTATGATTGAGCACAGAATGGTTTCATGAATATGAGCCCTGGCCTTATTCTCCTTGTACCTTTTTTAGCAGTCTGCCCGTAAATCGTTCTTTTAACCATATTTTCCTAGTTTTCCTGAATTATGATTGTGTTGACATGTTTCTTTATTCACAGCATGGTAGTTATGATGGCAGCGCTGGCGGCTATCCCAACGATATCGCTATACTGAGATTGGCATCCTCTGCAGAGCTGAACGAGCTTGTCCAACTTGTTCCAATGGCCTCAAAGGGTGATGATTTTGTCGGAAACAATGATTGTTGGCTAACTGGCTGGGGCAAGACAAGTGGTAAGTATATTGTACATCTAGTAATGTGGTAGATAACACTTGTTACTGGCTTTAAATCACAATACATACCTGTGATAAACAGAAGTATTCACTATGTCATGTAGCGATGTTGGTGTGAATCTAGACGGTTCTTCATGGCAATAGTGACAAATATGATATTTCAAAATTTATCAAAACTCTGCAGAAAAACATAGTGTATATACTTTTGGTATTGATATCGAGTTCCATCTGTCAACATAATGATTACAAATCGTTAATCATTATTTCAAGATTTGAAAATTTGAAAATTATTGAACGCAAGAAATTGGAAGCAAAAAAGGAATATTATCTATATCCAGTATCATTTTACCAGAGCAGTAAAATAATCAGCAAGTATTGATTTACATGGCATCCGATCACCAAGGTAAAGACATCCCCGCCGTCATCGAAACACTAAATTCTTGAAAATACGGAAGGGAACTACCCCTTTCAAATCTAGCACTACCACGAGGCATACAAACTAGTACCGAACACAATGATACCACGAGACATACAAACTTGTGTCGAACAGAACGACACCACGATGCATACAAACTAGTATCGAACACGACGATACCACAAGACATACAGACTTGTGTCGAACAGAACGACACCACGAGACATACAAACTAGTACAGAACACAACGACACCACTTGGAATACAAGCTAGTATCGAACAACTAAAATGTTATCAGTAAATTATTTCGTAGGACGTAGGCAGAAGTATCATTTAATACCATGTTTTTTTCTTAACCAACAGCTTCAAGTTCTGTTGCTCCGAAGTTGATGGAAGTTAACATTGACGTGATCACCAACACTGACTGTGCGAGGAGATGGCGCCGTGTATCGGGAGCTTCCATCTTCAACACACACATCTGTTTGTATGAAACAAATAAGGGTTCTTGCAATGTAAGTACTAAATTATATACACTATATTTGTTTATCACCTGATCTACTGTCATGTCATTGGTCTGATCAACTAATGTGTTCTTTACTAATTGATTAGAAGTGTTCGATTAAATATAAATATATAAACTTCATTTATTTAACAGCAATTGCGAAACAAATTTTAAGCCTATATCAATCATGGGTAGGTGACCACCATACCTTTTCACGTTCGTGCCGGGAATCGAACAGAGGACGCCTAGGTGAAAGGCAATTGTGTAACAACTGCTATGACTACCCAGACGTGTTCTATTAGGTTGTGATGTTTGGTAACATTTACATCTAATCCATCGCCATTCTTATTTTACGCACGAATATTAGCTATTATATATACTCTACCAGAATCAACCATTTTGTCTCTGTAAATACATACGCTCGATAGGGTACCGGAGGTTATATCGGGTCACGTTATTTGAAAGGGCTTAAATCTTTACATGTCAACGCCAGAAAATTAATAGATGACACAGAGAAACATGTAGGAAATATAGAAACAACTTTTGAGCTTCCTTGCTATGGCAATTACGGTCTTATGTTTTGACAGCGAAGGTTTTCGTTGTAATCGCTCTTGTGTCAGTTCGAAACTGAATTGATTCTGTTTTTACAGGAATAATAAAATATCTGGATATTTTTTACCTGTAATAACGAAATCTACATAACTATTAAGGGTATCAAAATTTATAGATATTCTTGACACTTGACGATGATTTTGTGCCCGAAATAGGTGTGAAATAAATACAGCACTTTGTCTCTAAAATTTGATAAATACAAACATGACGTAATTAACATTTTTTCCCGTCACCATTTTGATAACATCCTTTCTGTTTCAGGGCGACAGTGGCGGCCCGTTAGTATGCAGGGTTAATGGTCAGTTCATTCTGGCCGGTGTGACGTCATGGGGAATCAGTTCTTGTTCCGGATACCCAAGTGTGTACACACGTGTGTCCGAGTACCGTGACTGGATAAATAATGACATGTAAACCACGTGTACACCTAAGGTATTGTCTTACACAACATGCGACATACCTGATATATACAATACCTGTACAGTAATAAAAGTGTTACACATGGTAAATACTTGTTTGTGTTATAAATATATCAAGGCACAAAGATTAGTATATATACGTCTATATAAAACTATATAAAAGTTCTTGCTAATAAAATATGGCGCTTCCTTTGTAAACTGTTGTTAAAATATTTAGGTGATTTTATAATTAAAGATTGATTTTTAGATACAGGGCACTTTCTTGCAGTTTGCACATAATCGTGTTTTCTGCGGGTTCATTGGATTTTGAATAAATAAGTTTTTAAGCAACGCAGTTCACTGTCTTAAAAGGGTTACAAATTTATTTTTCCATCGCATGATCATGCATAGATTCATCCCTTGCTAATCCTAAACCAGATTGATATTTCATGTCCTATATTTTCTCTGTTTTTACCTTTTCATAATAAAAACCCTTTTTTAGATTTTTTTTCCTGCGGGGGATTGCCAGGGTTGGGGCCCTGGGGTCAAACTCCTGACATCGCTGTCACCGTCCTAGCGCAAGAGAACTTTCAAACGCCACACACCGTACATATACACATATCTAACAGATTCCAGTCTTAAACAAAAACTTATTTAAAATATAATTTGCATTTGAAATCTCGTACCAACAAGCGGATAAGTTAAGTGTCTTCCACAAAAGATCTTATTTCGTTATGGTATGTTTTTGAAGTTGTAATCCGTTTGAAAAATTGTCAAGACCCCAGTTGACTAGTGTTAATCAGTGGTTTGTGAAATATTCAATTTGTTACATTAATGGAAATAAACTAGGGCTTTAAAGAAGATAAAAACATATAATGCTGACTTGTCTAAAAAACTGCATCTGTGGAGAGATAAATTTTCAAATTTTATTTGATTCATATTTGAACATTTCCACTGGCCGCTGATAAATTTACGAAACAGTTACTGGGGCCAGCCTCCTAAACTAGAAAGGAAGATTAACACTATCGTACATGTGACTATCATTCTCCTGTAAATGTACTAAAAGTAAAACAGATAAAACCTCGACGTTGGCGTTGTTTCTATCCCAAATCACACACCCTGAGAAATATTGACAGAATTCAGGTTTACATACGCTGAGGAAGAACTAAGAAGTATGACTGAACTTTGAAGGTTTTGTTTTCTTTTTGAAATATGATTCCCCAGTAGACAGACATTTGACATACTTCCGGAGATATTTGATAAACCTTACTTGTCAAATATTCTCCCTACTTTTTCATATTGAATTATTCTTAAAACTAAGCAATATAAATAACACCGACTTTGTGAAGTACTTGTATATCACCTTCAGATACATTGTATTTCGATAATGTAAGACAATGCACCTTTAAGCAAGCTGATACATGTAAACACAGCCCTCTCTGAGATAATCATACTTAAGAACGGCTTACTTCTCAGATGTATAAAATCATTTTTCTATCGAAAAATCCTAAGCTTAACATAGCCGCTCTATGAAGCGTCGTAACATCCATAGGCTGTATTATTACCGTAGGTTCAATGGTCTGACGACAGAACTGGATTCTTGCCAACGATCAAATATATACTGCAAACCAAAATATCATAGTATTTACTTTAAAAGCACATCGCTAACCTCAACATTGGACTTGGGCTAATTTTTGGTTTGTTTTTATTCCTTTGCCGAAGTAAATAGTAGAATCTGATTCTAATCTAAGTTATAGCATAAATACACGTGACAAGGACTTTGTTTGGTTTTCAATAACGTTAAAATACATACTAATATAACAACAAAATTAATATATCAAAAATGATAAATATGTCTTCTTAAACAAAAAACTCAATACATAACTAAAAACCAAAAAGGAAAGTCTAATATACGAAATGTAATATCGTTTCTGTGTAATTCCATCTATGGCGTGTCCAAGTGTAAAATGACAAAAACAACCACTGCTTAATTTATATGACTGTATGTTTAAAGAAAGTACGGATAAAAAAGCAAATATTTGTTTATATAATAATGTAAAACTTAATTCTCAATATATGTGTAAAAAAAGTTGGGAAAAAGTGGTTAGTTCATGTAGTGATCTGCAATAATAGACAGAGGTGTGTAAAGTACTTTCAATAATCAGATACTATAACAAAAACAATCATTCGTCTCAACTGGGGACCAACTGATCATTACATGTAGGCACAAGGACACATATATTGTTTTAGTGTCATATGATGATAGAATCGAACGAAATCTTCGGGATAAAACAAATTCTCACTTTTTCCATGGACTATTATACATAATGAAACTGATACTTGTGTGTTTATACTTCGTCAGCAGTCTGATACCCTACATGACGAGGTCGTTGATGATGTTCATGGTTTAATTTTGACTCATATACATTCATTTCTCATTGACATAAAACATGCAAATTAAACGATGACTTACATTTCAATTATCTTTCTCGAATAACAAACTTTAACATCCACCATATGTGTATCAGATATCATATACTTTATGATGATACTCTTCACATACACATACAGCTGTCCCAGGCGTCATAATCTGAAGAATGTTTATCAATGGATCTGTTCTAGACGTCATAATCTGAAGGATGTTTATCAATGGATCTGTTCTAGACGTCATAATCTGAAGGATGTTTATCAATGGATCTGTTCTAGACGTCATAATCTGAAGGATGTTTATCAATGGATCTGTTATAGACGTCATAATCTGAAGGATGTTTATCAATGGATCTGTTCTAGACGTCATAATCTGAAGGATGTTTATCAATGGATCTGTTCTAGACGTCATAATCTGAAGGATGTTTATCAATGGATCTGTTCTAGACGTCATAATCTGAAGGATGTTTATCAATGGATCTGTTCTAGACGTCATAATCTGAAGGATGTTTATCAATGGATCTGTTCTAGACGTCATAATCTGAAGGATGTTTATCAATGGATCTGTTCTAGACGTCATAATCTGAAGGATGTTTATCAATGGATCTGTTCTAGACGTCATAATCTGAAGAATGTTTATCAATGGATCTGTTCTAGACGTCATAATCTGAAGAATGTTTATCAATGGATCTGTTCTAGACGTCATAATCTGAAGAATGTTTATCAATGGATCTGTTCTAGACGTCATAATCTGAAGAATGTTTATCAATGGATCTGTTCTAGACGTCATAATCTGAAGAATGTTTATCAATGGATCTGTTCTAGACGTCATAATCTGAAGAATGTTTATCAATGGATCTGTTCTAGATGTCATAATCTGAAGAATGTTTATCAATGGATCTGTTCTAGACGTCATCATCTGAAGAATGTTTATCAATGGATCTGTTCTAGATGTCATAATCTGAAGAATGTTTATCAATGGATCTGTTCTAGATGTCATAATCTGAAGAATGTTTATCAATGGATCTGTTCTAGACGTCATAATCTGAAGAATGTTTATCAATGGATCTGTTCTAGACGTCATAATCTGAAGAATGTTTATCAATGGATCTGTTCTAGACGTCATAATCTGAAGAATGTTTATCAATGGATCTGTTCTAGACGTCATAATCAGAAGGTTTATCAGTTCGTTTAATCAATGGATCTGTATCACTAGACGTCTAGGAGGTCATGAAGTATGTTTATAAATGGATCTGTCCTAGACGACAGTAGGTTCAGTTCGTTTACTCAATGGATCTCTCCTAGACGTCAGGAGGTTGAGTACGTTAATCAATGGATATGTCCTAGACGTCAGGAGGTTGAGTACGTTAATCAATGGATATGTCCTAGACGTCAGGAGGTTGAGTACGTTAATCAATGGATATGTCCTAGACGTCAGGTGGTTGAGTACGTTTATCAATGGATCTGTCCTAGACGTCAGGTGGTTGAGTACGTTTATAAATGGATCTGTAGACGTCAGGAGGTTGTGTAATCAATGGATATGTCCTAGACGTCAGGTGGTTGAGTACGTTGGTTGAGTACGTTTATCAATGGATATGTCCTAGACGTCAGGAGGTTGAGTACGTTTATCAATGGATCTGTCCTAGACGTCAGGAGGTTGAGTACGTTAATCAATGGATATGTCCTAGACGTCAGGTGGTTGAGTACGTTTATCAATGGATCTGTCCTAGACGTCAGGAGGTTGAGTACGTTTATAAATGGATCTGTCCTAGACGTCAGGAGGTTGAGTACGTTTATCAATGGATCTGTCCTAGACGTCAGGTGGTTGAGTACGTTTATAAATGGATCTGTCCTAGACGTCAGGAGGTTGGGTACGTTAATCAATGGATATGTCCTAGACGTCAGGTGGTTGAGTACGTTTATCAATGGATATGTCCTAGACGTCAGGTGGTTGAGTACGTTTATCAATGGATATGTCCTAGACGTCAGGAGGTTGAGTACGTTTATCAATGGATCTGTCCTAGACGTCAGGTGGTTGAGTACGTTTATCAATGGATCTGTCCTAGACGTCAGGAGGTTAAGTACGTTTATAAATGGATCTGTCCTAGACGTCAGGAGGTTGAGTACGTTAATCAATGGATATGTCCTAGACGTCAGGTGGTTGAGTACGTTTATAATGGATCTGTCCTAGACGTCAGGATGTTTAGTCCCGACGCTAATCTGTAGCGAATTCCTTAATAAGATTTATAAATGATAATACGATAACGAGATCACTTTTTTACAAATATCATAAAAACGTTTTAATGTTGAAACCTTAATACGCCGTAGCTAAACTTTCTTCCTCCAAATAATTTCAGGTGGCCAAGTGTTTGAAGATTTAGAATGTAAATAAATGTTGGTTAATGGGTCATAGGCAGTGTAGTTTCTAGTTTCAAAGAAATGTATTATTTCCGTACCACTGTCAGCACCTTTATGGAACGCCCACTCCATTAAAACAGTCGGTATTATCACGCTGTCAAAGAATTCCGTGCCACCTCGAACAACTTTGTGTTCGTATCCTTCAACGTCCATTTTTATGACAGCACGTGTCAGATTTAATCCGGGAAGTTGTAATATATTGTCCAGTGTAGTTGACATGACAATGTCTGAATACTGCCCTCCAACTTTACTGTCCTTGACCTTATTCTTATTTCTGTCCTGAAGAACAAATGATCCTCCAACATTATTTACGTCGATTCCTAAGGAGACATTCTGGGATACGTCGGAAAGTGCTCCACGGACAATCGTTACCTTGTCCGTGAGGTGGCCTGCGCGGAGAGATGAACACATCCGCTGGACGTTAATTTTTAAGGGTTCTATTGATATCACTTTAAATCCATTTTTAGCAGCAAATAACGAATATATTCCGAGGTTTGCTCCAATATCTATGAATGTTGTATGTTTACCTTTCTTCAGAGACGTTAAAACTAAATTTACAAGACCGGATTCCCATACGTGGCCGTTGGCCAATGAACCACTTACCCACTTATCGTCTTTCGGGTCATGAATATACACATCCATCACGCCGGACACAGTGTGGAGTTTGGCAGATTGAAAGCCTGTTAGGTTTTGACATAACTCTGGACGCAGGGTCCATGTTCTGTCTCTTAAGTTGTTGACATACAATTTTACAGGTATTTTATTGTAAGACTCAAACAGTTGAAGCTGTTTTTTTGTCAACACAGGCTGTGGAATTTGCTTTCCTTCGGAAGTATCCCGCTGGACTTGTTTCCGTATTGATACAGGCATTGAATATGGCTTCCCTTCGGAATTAGCCGGATGGGATTCTTTCTGTGTCGATAAACGTGGTGAAGCTTGGTTCTGCTGGGTTTGTTGTGGTATTGACTTTGATAGTTGCGCTTGGAGGTTATTTATTTTTTGATCGAGTTGATCTATTTGTAATTTCTGTGCTTGTACCATCATCCACATCCGTGACTCTGGTGTATCAGGCTGGGCTTGAATGGACGGTCGGGCTGAGTAGTGTGTGGAAAGAAAGCAAACTATCACTACCATTGTGACTAAACAGGTACCCAGTAGAATGTTGACAGACCGCATCCTGTCCTTATCTGAAAAAGTCAAACCCGACATCATCTTACCTTGTTTTCGTGATAATTAGCTTAATGATAGAAAGCAACGTTGCATTAAAAACTATCGTTAGGTTAAGTCTAGAATATCCAAAAGCGACGTTCAACGATATCTGCGAGTATGGTAAAACGAACTATCTTCAGTTGACTTTATTATAAAGTAATGATAAAACTGAACGGAAACTTTCATCAACAATCGAGAAAGAGTTTGGTAAGCAAAGACCTCCATGTAAATATTTTGGTAATACTTGGTTTTATCGAATTTGAAGTTAAACTGAAATTTTGTTGGTATTCCCTTGGTTTTCTTTAAGTTATAATCTAAACTAGATAACATGTGATGATCACCTTTCATTAGTCTATCCATCAAAGACGGTTGGAAGCGGAGCTATCAATTCCTCTTAATTATTAGTTACCAAGATTAAACTGACGTTATATCTCTGAATAGTATATGCAGTCAATAATTCAGACAACACCATGTGAGTGTGCACAAGAGATGTAAGCTCAAATATTCCAGGTAAAAATCAAACCGAAAAATACTGGTGAAACTATGATAGCCAAATAGAATATGTTAGCTGATTATCTGTGATACGTGACACTCATCGATCTATAAAAGACGAGACCTTCCCGAAAGACAACCAAATGAAAAATAATATAAATCAACTGCAGTATTTGTTGAACATTGAAATCCATCGACTCCATATTGGCCGTTACTTTGAAGTGAGGTTTCCGACAATTGATTTATTTACATGGTGCTTGTGGAATTTCCTCCCTGCTGATAACGTCGTGCAATCCTAGAGAGGTCACAATTCGAAGTAATTGTTCACAAGAGGTAAGATATCTGAGGATATTGCATATTGTCTAGATTTAACATCAACAGTATTTACTTCAATATCCAAAATAAATCATTTATGTCAATAAACACTTAAGTACATTTTTAGGCTGTACCGCATGGCATAACGAGCAGGATGATAATCAAACATTTGAAGGATAGGAAATATTTAATTTTAGAATTTACAAGCCATCAGTCAACCCGATAAAAGACTTAACCCGCTATCCTGTATTTAAGTTTGGGAACATGACTACATGACTGACATGTAACTTGACCTGTCGATGCATTGAAGATGAGACGTGGACATGTTGAGACAATATCAGACGATATTATCAGGGTAAATATTGATCTTACAGCGTGACCCTGTAATAAGCTCTCTTATGAGACGGATTTATGTCCGCTGAACGGAGGAGTGTGCAGCGACAGGGTACTGATTCGATAATAACACATTCTGAGCCGTAAACACAACATGTTTGTATTTTAGTGTTACTTTTCAAGTTACATGATTGTCGGATGTTTGTATTTATTAATTATCAAGTTCGATTCAATAGTTTTTCTTATTCGAGAATAGTTAGTTCATAGAAGGAAACTTTATTTCAACAAAACTCAACACAAGAAAGTACAAAACGCGTAACTGATCAAGGAAGTGCAGATTACAGGATAGGGTAATGATTTCAAACCTCTGATAAATGATATCTCCCAGATAGAGACCACAAAATATAGCACAGCAGCTTACATGTTAAGCTACACCGTCAAGACAATGATATAAACACAATACATTTTATCACAGGAGTATACGTGTTTAGTATACAACACACAAATCAACGATTTAAACACAATACATTTTAGTATATAACATATATATCTAACGTACCGGTACATTATAATGAAATACATCGTACAACAGGTATAGACAACAATTTTAGCACAGGCTTACACAAGTGTAAGTACAGCGTACAACACACATACAACACATGTTTTTTCAGGTACATACATGTGAACTACAACACGTTAAGACAACAAAATATATCATAGGTGCACACATGTTTAAAACACAGTGTACAACACAAAAATACAACAAATTAGATACATGTTAAGCACAGCACGTAAAGATAAGATATTTTGTTACAGGTGTACCACATTTTTAAACTACATCAATATCTAGACAACCACACTACTGATTTGGTCGGTCAGTTCTTCTTCGGTATGCATTAATTTAATACAACATCTTCTATTAATTTACCTACCCCAGTACCTGGCGTCAGGAGAAGTGACTTGTCCTTCTCAATCTTAAAAACGTTCCAAGTCAACCCAAACGATTACATCCAACTTTACTACAATGACACCGCGGATACAACATTTACTTTATGTATCGTGTGACGTCACGGTCGTCTACCCGCCCATGTGAGGCTGATAACGGGCAAGGTGCTCACTTCCGATATAACGTACAACCCAAACACTATAGACCACGAGACAGAGTGGACAATATGAAATTCAATCGTCGCTTATATACATAGAAAAAATGTGTATCGTCCGCCTATGTAAATATCAACTGGACAAAACCTTACGTAAGCGAAACAAATAATTCAAAATGGTGAAACACTGGATTCTAGACACTGAGCGTATATGTAATTGTAGTTTATGATATGTAATAATCAGTGTGAAAGATAGAATCTAGTAAGTACTACCGACGGTATCTATATAGATATAACCTCAGTGTCTAGAGTGCAGAACATACCGATTGTCGAGACACCTAAATTTACACAACCGCTCTCGATTTAGATTTATAAATTCATATTTGTTTTATGTTCTATGTTTGTCTTTATAAAGGGGCAGGTTACCTTGAAAATTTAACAATTCGCTTGCTTGTACCGTTGCTATTACTTCATTGATCATATATATATTCTACTTAAGTGTGTGTGCTAATTGGCAACTCCCATTTTACACATAAAACTATAACATGATAAAGTCAAAGGCTTGAAGCTTTCCCGGTTGGTATACCTCCAGTGTTTCGTTTTGTAGTTTTATGGGGTGGGTTTTTTTGCCTGGGTCACGCATTCAATGTCTGGTATCTCAGTAGTTATCTAATAATCACACACACTCGAGCTTACTCGTTCACGGCTTACTCAATACCAAATACACAAGCCATTGCCCTTCTTGCCATTCGTTGCAGCCATGTAATTCAAGCGGAGTCGCTCTGAATCAAGTGAGCTTTATGAAAAATGATGTCGAAACGAATATTTAATATTATGCATGTGCATACTTATTATCACATGATGTAATATACCAGTATAAATATGTTATAGGAAGGAATAATGAACCACCCTGAATGGTCCGGACACTACTTACTTATTGAAGAGAAATTTTCAGATTTTGACCCTTGATCCCTGTCACTATGAAATTAAATGACATTTATTCAACAGTTTTGTAGCCCTCCATCATAGTATATTATAGGCCCAATATCAGTATTCTGGGCCTTTTGCTTAGGAGAAGCAATTTGAAAATTATATGTCATTTGAACCGTGTGACCTTGAAAGTGGATGAAGGTCATGCATTTGAACAATCTTGGTTACTATTCATCCCAGCATGCTACAGGGTCTTGTGGAAAAGTTGGTTGGAGATTTGCAAACAAATATGTATTTGACCCCATTGACCTTGAAGTTGGGCCAAGGTCACTCATTTGAACAAACTCAATAGCCTTTTATACCAGCATTATATAGACCCAATATCATAACTCGCGGACTTTGGTTATCGAGAAAAAAAAATCGTTTAAAGGCGAAAGATTATTTCGGAAGGACGGTCATAAAATGTTTCGATTATTTTTGTAATAGTATTGCCGTACAGGAGGAAATCACACCGAATACAACCGTTCACTATACTGTTATGTTCAAATATCTGCACATCTTCATAATTTATATGTAGGTAACTATGATGGTACTAGTAAAGAACATCACAAAGTATGATTCAAGCGAGAATTAAGACACTCTTATGCGTGTTATCAATACATATACATTTATTAGTACTTACGGGTACATTCAGTTATCTACACTGTGGTACCTCTGTTCCGATTGTAAATGATGTCCTGCCCTATCCTTCCTGTTACATACCGGTAATAATACACCTGTCCTCACTACAGGTAACAAAACCTGTACGTACGTTTTATGTCACTCCCTATCATCGTCCAAACAAACCACTTGAATGTAATTTATGGTTGGTAGTAAGGTAAAAGGAGTAATAACAAATCGGAATAGTAATGGTAGAGTCCAGCAAACCATCTGTCAAACACTAACACATCGAGAAAATAAAAAAATGGTTCAGCATTTCGGATCATGGTGAACAATACCTATGAGGAAAGAGAAGTTTATGACGTAGCTATTCGCTACACGTTGTGGTATTGAATTATTATTATTTGGCGATTTTGAACTTTTCAGAAACATTTTTTCCTTTCGAAGCCAAAACTGTTTTTATGTCGCTGTCGATTTGCTGTTCATAAGCGTGTTTCTCATATCACGGACAACCGGAACATGTGCTCACTTACGACAGACAAATTATTAACATGAGGCTCTCGGATGATGCAGACAAACGGAACATGTTTCCGGATGAGTAAATTCTCGTTATATTACATTTGATTTCCTGACGCGTTCGACATTTTAAGTATTGTGGTTCCGTTGTCGATTTCTGATTTCTTTTTCAGACATATGGCATTGCCTCCATGTGGTTTGTCAATACTGATACAGATAAGTTTTTGGGGACGCGTGGTGGTCTGATGGTTAGTCAGCTGTAGAATTTCCTGTCTATACCATAGATCGTGAATTCTAGGCCCGATAGGGCACCAGTCAAAAGTTGTCTTCGTTCGTCACTTGCGTTGCAATATCTTACCATATATATATGTATCAGAAATGAAAGCGCTAATGCGTATCTTTTGTCACTGTACAGAAATGGAAGCGCACAATAAACTTGGATAGCCAACTTCACATGTGTCAATAAGCATGTAGATATGACGTTCTTATCATTGTCGCAGAGTGCAATGTGAAGTTAACTGGAATAACACGTGATCAGATTAAGACCAATCAGCATAGGATACAAATAAAAAGTGTAATATTTTACGTTATTGATAGTTATCGTTACGATCTATTTGCTTGTACGAAATGAAGTTTGATGTTTTTCAGTAAACCTGGTGGTTCCGTTGTACAATATGTAGTTGGACGAGTTGGATGTTTTTCATTGTACCTGGTGGTTATGTGTTGTCAACTTTCAGGAATTTGAGAGCGAGACGTTACTCGAATTTACATGATGGATTTCTCAATGAAGCAAAATGCACTTAAACCCTTCTAATTTTTTCCCTTGTGCTTTTTAATGTGACTCAGGTAAATCTCTTTTTTGCTCATATTTTGTCCAAGTTTCATCAAATTTCAGTAAAAAATCAGATTCTGTTCACATGTAGGGCTTCTGTTGTATTGCTTTCTTCAAGAAGAATCCAATTTGATGTTAATATTACCGAGCATAAAATAGGAGACACCTCTGACTACGACCGCGAGATAATGATAAACTAGTGCCAATAGATAGGTCATTTGTACTAGGTATAGGTGTCTTTATCTTAACACGTCCGTTGACAGTGCAGTAAGAATAAATATGGCTCATTTGAATGTGGCAATTTTCATAATTTGTCTCATGCTCAGGGTATCTGGATTTTTGATTCCAGACTTGGAAACCACTCATCTCTTTGTTAGTGTCACCGGAAGTGATCATAATTCCGGGTAAGTTATTGATGAACTATAAATGACATAACGTCCTTGACAGCGGATACTCAATGACAGATTATGTTTGTAGATAATGTAGAATTTAATTGAAGTTTCAGATTTTTTTCAATGTCAATATGATTCATTACTGTGATGAAATTTATTTTTTGAGAAAACAAGTGAAAAGAAATTGTACAAATAGGCACATCTTAATACAAATTTGTTGGTAGATAAAGCGGAGCCAAATAATGAATTAAACTGCATCATACAGGTGTTTCGTCCTTCTAGGACTTGTCAGTTCTTGTCTTGATCTTCTGTGACAATCGGTTTACACCTGTTGAGCAAGATTCGTACAACGCCCAACTTCTGGTATAAGAGTGGGTGCGATCGGAAGTTTAGGTGTCTGTCTGTGTACGTGTTTTTCCTATAGACCAATACTTTCATAGTACCATCATCTTTCTTTACCAGAAGTGTATCAAGGAACGGCATAACGCCATTGATTTCTTCCTCACAGGTGAATTTGATGCTGTTGGTGGTGTCTACGGGATTGATATGCTCAGTCAATCCTTCTGATATCCTTTCTTGATAATTTGCAATATGTCATCGGTTCCATAGATGTTGCCTCTTTCTAATGCCTACACAGTTGCCACTGCGATGTCCTTGACATGGCCAAACCATTGCTTATAGATAGTATCACGGCAGGCAAATGTGCTGTTGTACGCAAAAATTCTAGTAAATCTATAAATCCATGATGTTTTGGATATGGAGATGGGTATTCTTTTACCATGTCCGGTATTGCTGATCATTTTGGATAAGTGTCATGAACATACTTTCTGCAATGTCCTTCGAGTTTTGACCAGGGGTTCTTGATCATCTGCTAGTGAACTGGAGACATTGTCATCAATAGTCCATATGGGTCCGTAATAGGTTTTCTTCTTTGAGGATCTTGGGTGTGCAGTTTATTTTAAGTGTTCTACAGTGGGATACAGGTGTTTACATTGTGATTTAATGACAAGTTTTGATAAGATAGCTACCAGGCGAGATTTAAACTTTTGAATAGGGTTGTTAATGAGTCTTACACATGTTAATTGTCTTCGGGCATGAGCACGACTTTGTTCTCATATTCGTCACTGACCATAACGACTTTGTTCTCATATTCGTCACTGACCATAACGACTTTGTTCTCATATTCGTCACTGTCCATAACGACTTTGTTCTCATATTCGTCACTGACCATAACGACTTTGTTCTCATATTCGTCACTGTCAATAACGACTTTGTTCTCATATTCGTCACTGACCATAACGACTTTGTTCTCATATTCGTCACTGTCAATAACGACTTTGTTCTCATATTCGTCACTGTCAATAACGACTTTGTTCTCATATTCGTCACTGTCCATAACGACTTTGTTCTCATATTCGTCACTGACCATAACGACTTTGTTCTCATATTCGTCACTGTCCATAACGACTTTGTTCTCATATTCGTCACTGTCCATAACGACTGACTTTCCACTTGTCTCCTGGCAAAATCATGATTGGTCTGTCATTGCCCAATTCTTTAAGTACAATACATTCTTCCTTTGATATGTTGTTTGCCGACAATTTTGTAGATTTTAAGACACCTGTCTCTTGTGATCTCAGTTGGTCAGTCTCAGCGTAACCCAAGTTCTTACTAGCCTGTTCTGTGGCTACAATAAAATCATCTACTGGAATTTTGGCTGAAATTTGAACGATGACATAATTCAAACTCTTGGTTGGTAGTGTTTCATCACTACCCATACGCTGTTTGTTATATTATTAAGATATTAATTAACCACTTATTTAGCACGGTTTTATTTAAAACAACATCTGTTTTTTGTGTTGTTATCGGTAGTTTTCTCTATCCGACGCTTCGTCCAATGGCATTCATTGGTCGTATTAACCGTTGTTTCCTCTATGTCCTTCATATGTGTTTATATCCCCGAGGGTGTCACTCGAAAACCACTCGGATAGCTTAGCAGTGAGCAGTGTTTTCTCGCATTCTTTTGCGTCAGTTTTGTTGATAATAACACGTATTCTTTCTTAAACTAGATTTTTGTGGACATTGCTTAAATCGGGCATCTAGTATTGAGGTGTCATGACTAAGTCCAGCGTACACACAAGGTGATTTCTGTCTATTTCTTACACAGAATCTCGAACATTTATGGACAAGTGTTAAACAAGCGTAGCCGAATTAACAGCAGTGCATTGTTACCATTTTGTGTACACTTAAGTCTATTCTTTATTTATTATCTTGCCACAATGTCTTCGATCTTCGTGCACATAGGATTGTAATACAGCGGAAAAAGTTGGTCGATTCCATACTATCTCGTACACTACGTACGTCAGTGCTAGTACGCTCCACACTGGTCATTTGTCTGAAGCTGGTCGTGTAGTAATCGAAACGTTACGAACCCGAAGAAAATGTTCAGAAATGCATGTTTAATTGCCATAACCTTCCCCTTTCCACAATTATTAAAGCAAACCAATTTCATTATTTTATTGGAGTCGATCAAGAAACCCATTGAAATATTGTCTGCCAAGGCCTTTATTTCACGTTTAACATTCAAAAGTACCTGTTGCTGTCCTCCTTGTACTGTTCTGGGTCATCTATGTAAAAACTTCTTTCATATTTTACCATTGTTTCATCGAATTCGAATATGGAACAAAACAGATGTATACTGTAGTTAGTTTCATTAGTTGGCTCTTCTCTATCTTATTCTAACATTTTGTGTCGTCTATAAAAGTCGTTCGATGTATGTGCTTTATGCTACTTTGATGCAATCAGCTTAAGAACACTTGTTTTTTTATGAATTCTTAACGGTACAAGATGGCAGATGAATTCTATATGTATGTCCATCATCTCTGTGTACCTTATTGTAGGAGGGACGTCAGCCACCCTTTCAAAACAATACGGACAGCCATTTCACATCTCAGCAACCCTGACATCAAAGGCAAAAGTAAGTAACGAAACTATAGACAGATCGATGAAACTTAATGATAAAGATGAGATTGTAATCTATCATTGAAAAGAAGAAAATAAATCTAGGATAAATGTGAATAATAACATTATTGATATAGTTATATGTAAAACCGCACTTATAACAATGCCAGGCGTATTGACGTGCTTTTGTCACTTCGAACTGCAACTGCATCAGGGTTCGTTTTCATTCTGAGATCAAAAGCCAAAAATATTTCCCATATGTAGATATACTGCGTATTTTGTCCGTAAAATCATGAAATTAAAAAAATGCGGAAATTATAAAATAACACACATTCAGAAAAACCTACTAAAGTACTTAAACGTGTTTTTTTTTTCGTCTGTAGATGTATTTATAGAACTTATGCAAGGCTATCACGATCTGACGTCTCCAGTCAGCATGCGTCACAGTGATGCAAGAACAGTGACATTCCGTGCCCATAATAACGAAGAAGTGCATGTGGTATGTAACAAATATGTCAAAGTAAACTACGTTTACAATTTTGATCATTGTTTTTTCTGAAAAGATCGTTATGGCAAACTCTATGTTAAATTTTAACCAACTGTTTATGGACCTAGAAGTTATCAAAGATATATCTTTAAAATAGAAATTTAAATTCAATAGAAAAACCTGCGGATGTATTTGTGAATACCCGCATGGTGGGTGATTTCTTTGCTGAATAACGACAAAATAAATGTAATAAACTCGCATCTTACTTAACGAAATTTTGTTTAATTAGTATCAATTTTATATCATAACTAATCAAGTCTTTCAGAGATACTTTCTTAATTCTCTATTGCTAAAGAGTAATAGAAAGACAACTGTACAATGTAGTTTGAATAATTATTTGTTGATGCGTCTATCATTTTGTATGGAAAGGAGTTAATCACTTGTGCGTCTTTTCTGCAATCTTCAGACAGGTGGGAAAAGATTACCGACGACATTGTTTAAAGGAGTCAGTGATCCTGGCATCCTCCATCGATTACCAGCCGAATCTAGGACCAAGGTAAGCTTACCGTGTGTACATCATTAATGACGTCATCGACTGCAAACCAAAGCTAGGGCCGAGGCAGGGATCAATGAAGAAATCAACGACTACCAACCGGAACTCAAAGAAAGATTGGTATCATGTCTTCAGTCAAAAGCTACCAAACAATGCCAGGGGGTTATTTTATCAAAGTAATCATCAAAGTTTGACATATTCACCACTTACGTTACTTTTCCGTACTTGCATCAAATTAACTTTTCTTTTCTGATTTCTTCGTCCTTCCTACCAACTCAGGTAGTAGAAGCTCGTCTGTCCGACGTCGGTCTGTCCCATCTCTGGGATCTTTCTACTTATGGATTCTATATTGAAAGAAATGCTCCCATGGAGATATTCTATAATGGTGCCCCCTTGAGGATGGCTAGGTGGCCAAACGAGGTAAGTCCGTGTTTACTAGTTTGGTAGGTACAATAAATTGTATAGCTAGGAAAAAGCAGTCAAGTTGTAGATAGACAAAGGATGCAACTATTTATTTGAAAGTTGTTAACTTATAAAGGTTAGGTTACATTTTGTTACTGACTAATTTAAGTTATTAAAGTGCACTCTACAAACTCTTTCCATAGGAAGCTAGAATGCTAAAATAAAACAAATTGAATTTTGAAAAATTCAAAGAATTGAAAGAAATAAACACCATAACAACACTTTTGATTATATAATTGATACTCAAAACGCATTTGGTTTTTTTATCAAAATTCTGTACATCATTTTTGATGAGTTATAAATTGGAGATAATACAGTAACGAAAACTGCATGTTGATGAAAATTATGAGGAAGTTTGAGGTCGTCATAGTGATCTCATTATAAACATCTTATTTCTTTGTGCGATATGAAGTTTGATGTGTTTGATTCCCGTTAGTTTGCCTCTTGGTTCATTGATCTTCTGGTTTGAAAACACTATATCACTTACTTGGATTATCCAAGATTTACATGACGGGTGATGAAACAGAAGACGCTTACTCTACCGGAACACATGGCCTTATTCTTATTATACTTATTATCCCAATGTAAATCTTTCTTTTGTTTATATTTATATTTTGCCCTAGTTTGGGTATGATTATGTTGTTTTATATATATATATATATTTTTTTTTTGGTGGTGGTGGTGGTGGGGGGAGGTTGTTTTGTTTTTCGAAAAAGAATGAAAAAAGAACATTGTTTCTGTAGTCTTTACATTCTTATCACACATTCTGTAATACTGCAGATTTATATGATGGGATTGCACAAACGATACACAAATGAAATACCATTTCATCACTCTAGGGGTCTATACAAGAGGTCAAATGTATTAATTTGTATTACCTGTAGACTTAGAGAAACATATCTTATTTTTCTAGGGTCAGGGCTATATCAATATTGCATCACTGGTGGACGGCCAAAATGGGAGGAGTTTCACCTTCTCAGGAAACAGAGCCAGTCGATGGAGTCAGGAAACAAATATGTGGGCTCATGGCTTCTGGTAAGACCTGATATAAATAGAAAGTTGTCTCGCCAGTGATTTACAAATAGATGAGTGGCGTATCATAGAAAAGTCAGGGAAAATATCGATTTTATACTTTTTTTAATCCATGACATGATTCGTGACTTTTTCCTGTTTGGTTTGGCCGTTCATAATATCGACATTTTCCCGATTGTAAATATGAAAAATGCTCAAAAGTTGTAATATAAACTATAATGATGTATTTATGTTTAATCGTCCAATAAAGGTACTGGAGCTGGGCAGACCGATCTGTCAAGGTGAAATCCGTCACGGCATCAAACAATACCATTACTCTGGCTCATACTCCTCAGTACGGACTGAGGACAGGTAAATTTGTCATATATTCTTAACATCGGTAAACAAGTTATTGATGCAATACTTATCTCTGTGTCTTATGTACTGATTACGGGTTATTCATCCAAAATTCCATTTTCATAATTTCTTAAACACACTTTATTGAACTAAGTGAAACTTTTCAGAGATATCGTTCTTGTTGGACGATCTATTAATTTATGTACCTTATATCAATATTTATTGTTTGTAAACTATTTTCACCCTTTATTTTTTGGGATATATCATCGCTCATGTGAATGCTCTGATGCTTCATACAACATTCATTGTTGATTGTTTATCAATAATGCAGTTTTGTCTAATTCGAACAAAAATGTCTTTCTACTTTCGACCAATGAGCACGTCTCTCTAAGTCATGGTACTGGTATACGCTTATTATTCTGTATCCGAGAAATTGTTATAAGCGTAAACGATGTTCAGAAATACTAAAATTAGATAAAAAAAAAACATTTCTTTATACAAGGTATTTCATAATGCGGAGGTCTGATACGGCCCCAGCGGAATCGCAGGTAATCTATAGTCAAATAAAAAACATTCTGCCTCCCTTTGGACAGTAGAATGATTCGGCAATTTTCGCAAAACGTATCTTTGTTGGAACGCATGTTGGAGTTCTAGAACGGAAGCCAATATGACGGCGTTCATGCAAACGTCGAAAACTTATTTGTAATAAGAGATAAATTCCTCGGGCATCTTTGGCGCCGAATCAGTAATCACATTGTTTACACAATAGGACGTGACAGAGAAAATTTCTCCCGGAAGTGGAAAGACATAGTTCATGCGTGCTTTTCAATAACTAACTCTAATGTCAATGTAAACACAATGACAACATTTTCAATTTATTGATTTTTTTTTCACTTAACAAATAAAATACGCGATCGATCACTTCATGTAGTACGCCTTACTCGTATTAGCAGGTTGTATCGTCCCCAATGACAAAGGTATGCATCTTAACTCTGTTCATAGTGTCGAAGCTAAAAATATTCAAAACGTCAGCAATGGGGCTGCGGTTGTCTAGTGGTTAAGGCAGGCGTCTGACTGTCGCTGTCACTGGCCCTCCACCTCTGGGTCGCGGGTTCGAGGCCTACATGGCGTAGTCGCCAGGTACTGGCCGCAGTGGTTTTCTCCGGCTTTCCTCCACCATCCAAACCTGCCACGTCATTAATGAGAATAATTTGTCGGTTATGCCCCCTGAATGATATACTAGGTGGCGCTCTAGTTGTTACGGTCCCAGTGTTTTGTTCCCGTAATGGTTGGAGATACTATATCTAGACTTGTCAATATGCCGAAAACTTCTGGTTGTGTTCTTCACTGCCATGAGAGAGGGGGTAATTCTTTCCCAAGTGAAGAAAAGCTGAAGAGTCTATGGGTATCTGCCTTCAGACATACATTACGGAGTATTTCTGCGATTGGTTGTGGCGGTGATAGGCCAGTTACAGTACTGTAGCCAGGCCTAGCGCAGCAAAAAACAATGAACCTTTCAATTAACTCGTTCTTTCTGTCTGATATCAGTGCTCTCCTGGCGCTTAAGTGCCATCCTAAGTTTTAGGAGATCCCATAACCAATAGGAAGCTTTTGTCTCACTCATAATGACAACGTAAAATAAGTGAATAAGCGTATCTGTTCAATAGGCTATATAATCCGGCACCGGAATGTGTTGTGCGCCACCTATAAATCAGGGGGAATTACTCAATATAATTTGCGACAAATGTTTCTCATTGACCCCGACCTTTTAAAGGACGTAAAGCAACAATGAACTCAAAACGTCGAAGAAAGGAATTATTTGATTTGCCAATATTTGATCGTTAATGAAAATCATAAAAGGGTCATCGGAAAAGAGGATCATCCGGGGCTTCCGTCAGATCTCCATTTCTCGAGATAAAGAAAGTGAAATTCTATAAATGAGCTGTTATTTGTCTTTAGACTGTTGCTCCCATACGTAATACGTGTTTTAGGTCATTTCCATGCCGGTCATAACTACCAGTACAGTTATCGTGACCAGGGAGGATACTTCCGGATCATCAACGCTCTTTCCGAGTTAGACGAGCCTGTAAGGATCACAAACTATAAACTTTTACCAGATAAACCAATATATAAAATTGATTAATTTTGTTTGCGGGGCCGCGATAGCCGTGTGGTTTAGGCGTCTGCCCGTCTTTACCACTAGCCTTCTACACCTACGTCGCGGCTTCGAGGCCTACATGGTCAGTCATATGCTTCTATTTCTCTGGGATCTCTGGCTTTTCTCCACCAAATAAACCCGGCAAATTTCCTTAAATGATCATGATTGTTACTAGGACGTAACGTAACAATGAAACACATCATTCTTGTCTCTGTTGAAAGGAGCTATATATCCTGTACCAATCGGCGAAAATTGAAGGAAACACGTGACACATGACACGTAATATTGTTAGGTTGGATCAAGTCTAAAAAATCGAATACTTACGAAAGATTTTTATCCAACACAGTAACCTTGTAAAGTGTTTCACTACCTATGTCTGCAAATAGCAGCCAATTTATCTCTGTGTCAGCCATTAAGGAATATTTAAATTGTTTGTCCTTCTTTCGCGCTATCTCATGTCCGCCAAAAATGATATTTCAGGGTGAGTACTATATCGATAGGACCTCGGGAATACTCTATATGTGGCCACCATCATCAACTGGGAGTCTGGATCAACATGACATCATATACGCCTCAAATGTAGACTGCTGTTTCAAGTAAGATAATACAAAACCACTGTTTGTATCGTTGCACTTTAAAGACTGTTAGTCAGACTAGTAGGCCTGGTGATTGTGGTGCGTTAACTTTGTTCTCATTTAAGAGGGTGACATCACTTATTTGATTTAATCAAGATTTATGTGGCGCGCGAAGTCGATGTAGAAGACGCTTACCCTTCCAGAACACCTAATATTTCTCTAGACATTTTCAAGGATTTCTGTTTAAGTCATCCTTTCTTTTATCATATCTATTTGACGAGTAAAATCGATTTGAATTTATATTAATATTGTATAAACATGTCGGTGTTATCTTTTTACTTTTTTATCTTTATTACTTTTTTACCATATCGATACGGTTACTTAAGGATGATTGTCGCATGACTACTACACAACGTTTACAAATTACAGCTTCACGACATAACTTTATTGCCCCTCTTCATATCCTTTTTAAGGTGGTAACGTTTCGTTCCTACCTCGGTTCTCACTTTGACGGTATGACTGTATTTGTATGGACCTGATTTTACATTTAGGATGAGAAACACAATGCGCTAACCCTTCTGGATCACATAACCTTGTTATCGTTACACTTTGTACTTAACATTAACTTTGGTATAGTTATGTTAGTCCTTTTAATGGTTTTTATTATAAAACTTCAGACAATGGTTAAATATCGTTGTTCTACAGGTTAGACTACACATCTAATGTGATATTTGATGGCTTCACTATAGAGGCTTGTCGCCGCAACGGCATCGTCTCAAGACATGGACAAAACATCACCGTTCAGAGGATGGAAGTACGAAACACAGGTAACATGATCAATTATATTTGTAAACACCTTTACTGAAACATGATCCAGTATCAGTGGACTTTATGGATAACTGCCACGTCCCGGTTCACCTATAAACCGTTACCAGAGTCCGATTATAAAGCTGACATTCTGGCTTTTTACTGTATGTCGATGACAACACAACATTGCATGCCACGCATCATTCAGCATCTTTTATCATTACCTGTTCTAGGTTCTTACGGAATCGAATGTATTAACTGTCTGAATATCAACATAACCGGATGTGACGTTCATCACGGGGATGGTGGCATTAGAGTATCCGGTTAGTATCATGTTCCGGTTAGTATTATGTTACACTTTATTAGCAATAAAAAGAGCGATGGTTTTACGTGAATCAAATCTTTGTCTCTCCAATTTGTAATTTTGTGAATTTTGCAGGAGGTACCAGGTCAACTCTCTCACCTTCTCATATATCGGTTACCGACAATGTCGTCCAAAGTTTCAGTAGAGAAACAGCTGTTGGTGCCAACGCCATTACCGCTGATGGTGTAGGGATATACATGGCTTACAATCACCTACATACGGCCCAGTACACAGCCATCAGATGGAGTGTTCGTATCTATATGTATTCACGTGTTATACAGAATCAACTCTAGAATGAATACAAAAACTTCTCTTGCCTCAGAACACAATATACCGTAATATATGTTATTTGGAACGATTGCAGTCAGTAATTTGTACAAAAACAGTTATAACAAATAACCAAACATTTAAACGTATTTCGGATTTTTAAAAATGGACTGATAACTTCAACAACAAAAATAAGAGAAATTTTATCCGCATTGTTATCGAAGGTCAGCAATTTCTGAAATGTTCCGCAAGTGAAAATGATCCAGACATTGTCCTTACCACGTGATCTATCGGGATAAGATAGTTAAATGTCAATTTATTGCAATTTAGGGAAACGATCACGTGATGGAGTATAATAATGTGCATCACGTCTGTCAAAATTCGAGTGACTGTGGAGCTCTTCACACGGGACGTGATTGGACAGGGGTAGGTGACTTTATATATTACTTGTTTCGTGACGTCAGTGTGTACGACACAATCAGACACCTCTGAAAAACGTTATCATACGCAGGTGGTCGAATGTAGCGGAATTTCGCATGCATAAATGCACTGGAGCATCCTTCTGTAATCACGAATTTCTTCTAAAGCTGTATGATGTTTTCTTCTCTACAGAGAGGCTGTGTTGTTCGGTATAACCACGTGCACCATAATCCCCGCCTTTTTCCCGGGGCCGACGTACGGGGTGTTATGTTGGACGATCAATATTCTAGTGTCAACATTCATGATAATGTTTTCTACTATGTAAGTTAGTAATCACTTATCTTATTGTATCTGTAGAAATGTCATTTCCTTTTAATTTTCTTTGTAATCGTGATATTTTTACTTGACCTGACTGTGCTCTCGGATGTTCTTTACACTAATATTTTCTCTATTTACGTCACTCCTGTGCTCTCTTGTGGTAGACGAAATACAGTTGCGAAAGAATTACACAATGAGCAAATTTTATAATTTCCAACTAACAAAACCATTGAATGTTTTTTCAAATATTTTTGTTTGTTTTTGCCTCTTTAGAACGACATTCACGTTAATATAGGCGGTGGCCGTGACAACATCATTCACAACAATGTGTTTTATGAGGCATTTAAAGCAACCATGCAAGTAGATTCCAGAGGTGTTCCGCATAGCAGTAACGAACAAGACTTACAGAGAAAGCTTCATGTAAGTACAATCAGGATAATCCTTACGTAAGATAAACCAGAATAATCTTATGTAAAAACATACAGAATATTCTTCCCGAAAGACCATACAGAATAATCTTTACTTAAGTACATACAGAATATCCTTCACGAAACTTTTGAATATTTTAACTGTCAATCTATTTGATTCATGCAAATTAAGTCTTAAGACTTTTCTATTCTAATGTAGTTACAAAACGATCTTTTTTTCAATACCAGGCTGTTCCGTACAAAAGTACATTGTGGGCTACACGGTATCCCAAGTTAGCCGTTATAGATTCAAATGTACCGGATGAACCACGTGGTATGTTTTTTTATTTATAAACAAAAAAGAATTGATGCTTAGTTCATGAAATATATACCAAAATAGAATCCCCGTACACGGTTATCAAATCACAACAAAATAAGTGAAATAACTTTCCCATTTATAAATGTTACAACGAGTATGAAAAGTTTAAGATATGCCGTGCCGTATGATAGTGTTCATTCGTTTATATTGGTTTCTGTTCTGCAGTTTATAATCTATATCCATCGTTCTCAGTATCGTTTCAGTTTGCTTATTTGTGTGTTTATTTGTTTTCTGTTCTGGATGTTACGTAATATTTAGCATTGAAATACAATAGTTATAATAATGATAATATAATAGTATACATAGTTGTCATCAATCAAAAATAAAAAACATACAAACGTGTACACGTTGAAATGTGTATTATTTCAATATCATATTACTGAGTACATTTATACAAGATACAGGAAACCTAATGTGTCGTCACATGTAGGAGAATGAACGTTAGCTCATACTAACTGTACATTATATTTACTCATTGGGGAGATCTTGACTATGTATATACCCAGTGTTACTGTTTGGTGAGAACTTGACTATGTATATACCCAGTGTTACTGTTTGGTGAGAACCTGACTATGTATATACCCAGTGTTACTGTTTGGTGAGAACCTGACTATGTATATACACAGTGTTACTGTTTGGTGAGAACCTGACTATGTATATACCCAGTGTTACTGTTTGGTGAGAACTTGACTATGTATATACCCAGTGTTACTGTTTGGTGAGAACGTGACTATGTATATACACAGTGTTACAGTTTGTATATACCCAGTGTTAAGAGAACCTGACTATGTATATACACAGTGTTACTGTTTGGTGAGAACCTGACTATGTATATACCCAGTGTTACTGTTTGGTGAGAACTTGACTATGTATATACCCAGTGTTACTGTTTGGTGAGAACTTGACTATGTATATACCCAGTGTTACTGTTTGGTGAGAACGTGACTATGTATATACCCAGTGTTACTGTTTGGTGAGAACGTGACTATGTATATACCCAGTGTTACTGTTTGGTGAGAACGTGACTATGTATATACCCAGTGTTACTGTTTGGTGAGAACCTGACTATGTATATACCCAGTGTTACTGTTTGGTGAGAACCTGACCATGTATATACCCAGTGTTACTGTTTGGTGAGAACCTGACTATGTATATACCCAGTGTTACTGTTTGGTGAGAACCTGACTATGTATATACCCAGTGTTACTGTTTGGTGAGAACCTGACTATGTATATACACAGTGTTACTGTTTGGTGAGAACCTGACCATGTATATACCCAGTGTTACTGTTTGGTGAAATTGACTATGTATATACCCAGTGTTACTGTTTGGTGAGAACCTGACTATGTATATACACAGTGTTACAGTTTGAAGAGAACCTGACTATGTATATACCCAGTGTTACTGTTTGAAGAGAACTTGACTATGCATATACACAGTGTTACTGTTTGGTGAGAACCTGACTATGTATATACCCAGTGTTACTGTTTGGTGAGAACTTGTATAGACTGTTGGTATTGTTTGATCCTGGTTATTCATATTTTGTTGAATAAATGACTAAATACAAGCTATTAGATATCACTACTACAGACCTAGGTATAAAAACAACTCTGATTATAACAGAGTTATAATCAGCTGTAGATGTGATCCTGGTACAGCAGCATTGGGTAAAATTTACCATAAAATAGGAATTTAAAATCGGAGATTTTATTAATGCTTAAATTTTAATGCAACACAAATTTTATCACAACATTAAAAAATACATCTCTGTTTTAGGAAATGAAATTTCATTTAACATTTTCTACAATTCGGCGGCTACTGCCTTCATAGGATCAATCGAAAATACAGATTGGTTTAACATCTCATTTAATCGCCAGGTAAGCATGAATTTGTTATACCTTATCATACCTCTACAAATGTACAAGACATTCATCCCATATGGGACACCTATGTGAGATGTCAGACATTGGTACAGATGCATGTACAGTGACAATTAGGGGATAGCGTGATTTTCACAGCAGACGAATTAGTCTGTTCAAACGACACATTCCTTTTCATGATCTAACCTTCTCTGTCGTCGGCAGATGGCTCCGTTATGTAAATAAAAGACATTATAACACTAACTTGCTGAGGAGAAATTATAATGTAGTTTTTTTTAATGTTTCGTTAGTCTTTATATATATGGCTAGAAAATGTGTTGTATTCACCAATCGAATACACCGTTAGAATATTTCTTCACCCATACATAGAACATGTATTCAAATAATTGAAAACAATTTAAAAATAGATAGATAGAGTGAAAACTGCATATGCCGACCAAACCTTTTCATGTGTATGCCAACAGTCGTTTGGAAGATGCTTTCCTCTAGTATTATTGATTTTGAGTTTGGTTGGTGGTGATGTTGACATGTTGGTATTTTTCGGGTTTTTTTTTTCATTTCCGTAATGTCTCTAGGTTAAACTGATGGTGGTCTCCGTCGTAATGGACGTGTATTCTTCATTGTTCTGTTGTCATTTCACGTGCTTTTGTAGGCTTCGAGTCCAGCTGAATTTTTTGACCCTGCAAACGTCGACTTTCGACCTCGTTGTTCTCTCGCGGAGTACACAAATTTGGTCCACTTCCCGAATCCTATTCGTTTGTCCCAGGTCGGCCCGAGGGGAGGGATCGGTCCAGTGTACAAAGGACAAGGTATGTCACCATACGAGAATGAAAATGTATACATAACCATCCACTAGGAACCACGTGACATTAGGGTATCAGTAAATTAGGTGTGTCACATGGATTTATCATGTTTTAAAGTCGTATATGCTTTTTAGTAAAGTCACAAATATTTCAATCGTTTTTGTTTCCATTCTACGATAAATTCAATACCATGAAGTACATCTTTGCTTTTCCTGTATTTAATGTAGCCGGTTCCACACGTGACGTCAGCGTTACAAGCCGTGACGCTCCTCTTCCTTGTACTACACATACGCCCTCGGCACTTACACCTGTGACATCATACCTGCCGGATGGGTCACATCAAAATACTATCGAACATACACCAAATGAAGGTAACATTGAACATTCAAACAGCTGAAAGACGATATTGACGATGAAACGCTTATTTCATGAATTTATTTTAAGATATCGAAATAATTACAAGCTTATGGCAAAGGAATATATATATATATATGTGTATGTTTATAATATTTTAATGATTACAGGCTGTTGGTTTAGTGCGCAGGTCTGCCCTAATGATCCTGGATTTACATCAGGTCTTAAGCGTGATGTAGACGGCGAGAAACATCTGAATACTGGACATAATGAGTCTGCCTGTCTGGGCCGAGTACCCTATATGGTGACCCACTGCGGCAGCCAATCAAAGTTCTCCGTTATCTACGGTCCCACAGGTTACATTCTAAAACGATCTATTTTATAAACGCGTGAAATCGACTTAAAGAAGTAAAAAGCAAGTTTCATACGGTTGAAAAAGAATGCAAGAGTCATTAGTTTATCCATGTATAAGATTATTCAGACATAGAAAACTGACCGTACGATTTTATCTAGGGGCCATGACACTAGGAGGATTTGGATGTTACTTCGCACAGTTTGGCTGCCCGAAATATCACAATTATCATGTAGGATTCGTACGCGACAAATGGGCTGAACAACATCAAAACGCTGCCCATGATGAGCACAAATGTTTGTCGCGTGCTCTCGCGGAATGGAAGTATTGCGGATCTGATCCTACTTATCCATACACCAGTATATACCTTCCGACAGGTAGGAAATCAGAGTGGTTATTTTTATCTTATTTCCTCGATCACAAGACGTCATAAAGGTGAAAAATCATGGCCTGTAGTGACGAAATAACACTGTGGTTTGGGAAAAATGATAGGTTTTGGACAAATAATTAACTTCTTGATTTATTTATGTGTGACATGTGTAATGTTATCACAGATGAACTTAGTCAACACCAACACCAGACGGTGATGACGAATTCAACGTTTTCATGTAGTAGTATGATCTGGCTCTACACCAGACATCTGTCCGTCAACACGTGAAAGTTCTGCTGTAGGAGCCAAAGGAATTTATTCATCCACCCAAACTTATTTCAGTAGGCCTTGAAAATATCAGCAGGTCTTTTTTTATTTCTTTAACACCCTCGGTTAGACGAGATATACAAAGTGTCTTTTCAGCACATTGAAACGTTAGAGACCATTACGGAGAGGCTCTCAAAACGTCTTCATGGAACTTATCACTTTTCTTTAAGTCTGGAACAATACAAATTGTATATTTTCAGGGGAACAGAAATTGTTGAAAACCCTAACCCGTAGTTTGAACCTATTCCTGTGTACTGTAGCTGTTGTATCTGTTTTTGAAGGACGACGTGTGTACTATAGCTGTTGTATCTGTTTTTGAAGGACGACGTGTGTATTGTAGCTGTTGTATCTGTTTTTGAAGGATGACGTGTGTACTGTATCTGTTTATGAAGGACGACGTGTGTATTGTAGCTGTTGTATCTGTTTTAAGGACGACGTGTGTACTGTAGCTGTTGTATCTGTTTTTGAAGGACGACGTGTGTACTGTAGCTGTTGTATCTGTTTGTGAAGGATGACGTGTGTACTGTATCTGTTTATGAAGGACGACGTGTGTATTGTAGCTGTTGTATCTGTTTTAAGGACGACGTGTGTACTGTAGCTGTTGTATCTGTTTTTGAAGGACGACGTGTGTACTGTAGCTGTTGTATCTGTTTTGAAGGACGACGTATGTACTGTAGCTGTTGTATCTGTTTTTGAAGGACGACGTGTGTACTGTAGCTGTTGTATCTGTTTATCAGGACGACGTGTGTACTGTAGCTGTTGTATCTGTTTATAAAGGACGACGTGTGTATTGTCGCTGTTGTATCTGTTTATGAAGGACGACGTGTGTATTGTAGCTGTTGTATCTGTTTTTGAAGGACGACATGTGTACTGTAGCTGTTGTATCTGTTTATGAAGGACGACGTGTGTACTGTAGCTGTTGTATCTGTTTATGAAGGACGACGTGTGTATTGTAGCTGTTGTATCTGTTTTTGAAGGACGACGTGTGTATTGTAGCTGTTGTATCTGTTTTTGAAGGACGACGTGTGTACTGTAGCTGTTGTATCTGTTTATGAAGGACGACGTGTGTATTGTAGCTGTTGTATCTGTTTTAAGGACGACGTGTGTATTGTAGCTGTTGTATCTGTTTTTGAAGGACGACGTGTGTACTGTAGCTGTTGTATCTGTTTATGAAGGACGACGTGTGTACTGTAGCTGTTGTATCTGATTTTGAAGGACGACGTGTGTACTGTAGCTGTTGTATCTGATTATGAAGGACGACGTGTGTATTGTAGCTGTTGTATCTGTTTTTGAAGGACGACGTGTGTACTGTAGCTGTTGTATCTGTTTATGAAGGATGACGTGTGTACTGTATCTGTTTATGAAGGACGACGTGTGTATTGTAGCTGTTGTATCTGTTTTAAGGACGACGTGTGTATTGTAGCTGTTGTATCTGTTTTAAGGACGATGTGTGTACTGTAGCTGTTGTATCTGTTTTGAAGGACGACGTATGTACTGTAGCTGTTGTATCTGTTTTTGAAGGACGACGTGTGTACTGTAGCTGTTGTATCTGTTTATAAGGACGACGTGTGTACTGTAGCTGTTGTATCTGATTTTGAAGGACGACGTGTGTACTGTAGCTGTTGTATCTGTTTATGAAGGACGACGTGTGTATTGTAGCTGTTGTATCTGTTTATGAAGGACGACGTGTGTATTGTAGCTGTTGTATCTGTTTTTGAAGGACGACGTGTGTACTGTAGCTGTTGTATCTGTTTATGAAGGACGACGTGTGTACTGTAGCTGTTGTATCTGTTTATGAAGGACGACGTGTGTATTGTAGCTGTTGTATCTGTTTTTGAAGGACGACGTGTGTATTGTAGCTGTTGTATCTGTTTTTGAAGGACGACGTGTGTATTGTAGCTGTTGTATCTGTTTATGAAGGACGACGTGTGTATTGTAGCTGTTGTATCTGTTTTAAGGACGACGTGTGTATTGTAGCTGTTGTATCTGTTTTTGAAGGACGACGTGTGTACTGTAGCTGTTGTATCTGTTTATGAAGGACGACGTGTGTACTGTAGCTGTTGTATCTGTTTATGAAGGACGACGTGTGTACTGTAGCTGTTGTATCTGTTTTGTGAAGGATGACGTGTGTACTGTATCTGTTTATGAAGGACGACGTGTGTATTGTAGCTGTTGTATCTGTTTTAAGGACGACGTGTGTATTGTAGCTGTTGTATCTGTTTTTGAAGGACGACGTGTGTATTGTAGCTGTTGTATCTGTTTTGAAGGACGTGTATAGCTGTTGTATCTGTTTATGAAGGACGACGTGTGTATTGTAGCTGTATCTGTTTTGAAGGACGACGTGTGTATTGTAGCTGTTGTATCTGTTTTAAGGACGACGTGTGTACTGTAGCTGTTGTATCTGTTTTAAGGACGACGTGTGTACTGTAGCTGTTGTATCTGTTTTTGAAGGACGTGTGTACTGTAGCTGTTGTATCTGTTTTTGAAGGACGACGTGTGTACTGTAGCTGTTGTATCTGATTTTGGACGAGTGTGTACTGTAGCTGTGTGTACTGTAGCTGTTGTATCTGTTTATGAAGGACGACGTGTGTATTGTAGCTGTTGTATCTGTTTTAAGGACGACGTGTGTATTGTAGCTGTTGTATCTGTTTTTGAAGGACGACGTGTGTACTGTAGCTGTTGTATCTGTTTATGAAGGACGACGTGTGTACTGTAGCTGTTGTATCTGTTTATGAAGGACGACGTGTATATTGTAGCTGTTGTATCTGTTTTTGAAGGACGACGTGTGTTTTGTAGCTGTTGTATCTGTTTTTGAAGGACGACGTGTGTATTGTAGCTGTTGTATCTGTTTTTGAAGGACGACGTGTGTACTGTAGCTGTTGTATCTGTTTATAAGGACGACGTGTGTACTGTAGCTGTTGTATCTGTTTATGAAGGACAACGTGTGTATTGTAGCTGTTGTATCTGTTTTTAAGGACGACGTGTGACTGCTGGTGGTGGGTGTTGGATTTACATCACCAACTGCCCTGCAGATCCATCTGTTAACACACCACATGATTTATTCTATGATGCGTGGGGAGCGTCCAACACCGGATCAGGTAACATTAATGTCCTCGGTCATGATAGGTAGAGATTCTCGTCTCGTTAACTCGGCAAAAACGTAATGAAGCACCTTTTTATTGGTGATTTGTATATTGTCGGCTGAAAATACTTAATAGTTTCTGTGTAGAAACACATTGCTTTGTTAAAGACATCGATTGCGTAATGACGGTATAAGCCACCTATCATATACCATATACATTTTACATGTGTGTTAGTGCTGCGGTATAGTTCTGCCAATACAAAAGACACCAAGTGAATAGAGTCTTTCCTGGAATATTTACAATCAATTATACCATAGCCAAAAAGTTAAGTTAATTGTGTTATAAATCAGTTTCGTCTTAAACATAGATAAAGATTCGCACGTTTTCCAATTTAAGAAAAATTATGATTTCAAATATCTTATTTGATTTAATATTTTTAATAACGACGAACCTGGACCTCTTTTTACTCGGATGTTTAACGATCTTATTTCTTCCGTCAGACCAGAGCATCATAGCTTGTTTCCAGAGAGCAGACGATTACTGGATACAATGTGGAAGACACAAAGACGCACCCGTAACAGCTTTCTATCGACCGGAGGCCAATTCCAGGACCGTTCCCTAACTTCACACCGTAACGCCAAATATCTGCTATCATATAACTTCAACTTAGTTTGAAATGTTCATCAAAGCAATAAACAGGTCAAACAAGTTAATTACAAGTCAACCGTGTCGATGGTTTATTTATAAAGACAGAGTTGTACATATAAAAAACAGATATGTCATTATCAAACAATACAGTTTTTATTTGTAAAACGTTAAAATTACCGATATATTGAACTCACAAGACAATGTCAAACAATTGCATACTAGACGGTCAAAAGACATACAAGAAACACTACACCTGACAGCGGGGGGAAGAAGAGGGCGTTTCTTGGGATTCAGGCCCTTATAAAGTAGAAGGGCTTCTTTCATTCCTCTGACATAAAAAGCGTATGGTATATACTGTAACATGTTTAACAAATACTGTCTGATTCTTACTAAACGACCTTCTTCGTGGTTCACTGAATATTGATATCACGGGTAAGTTTAATGTTATTCATTAAATGCATACCTAGTTTCAAAGAAAGTGGTGAAAAATTGAGGGAGGAGATCGAACTATGAACAAAAAAACAAAGGGCAATAATAGGATAACATAACTTCATGTCATTGTAATAAAATCTTGGAAAAACATCGGTTGAAAACTCTCAGAGACCTCAGACAAGAATGAATTATGGATGCTATGAATACCAGGAGCAGTAACTCTTCCATGCTGGAAAACACGTCATGCTCGGATGATTAAGCCTGCACAAGTTTAACAGTCGAGAACTGTGATAGATCTTTGGAAAATACATATTTCCGACGGAACGACGCAATACCATAAAACGTCAGTCAAAAGATATAGCTGGACATATCAAAATATGTGTTAGAAAGGACGGTCAACATCTCCAACAAATCTGACACGTTCATTAGACGGCGGTAAATTAATCACTTGATTGACGTGTTAATATAACTTCCGATTGGTCTCGTGCTTATGTATCACACATCTGGAAATGTAAACAGAAGGGATTAATAGTTTCTCGATTAATGTCACACACGTAAAGATTTCACGAGTATGATGGAATATATCCTATTGTCGTAAAAATATTGTCATACGAGTGAAATACAGTCTAACCTGTCATAACGGCCACCTTAGTTAGACGGCCACCTGCTTATAACGGCCGTTTTCAGACCCTACCAATCTGTATATAGGATATGTAACAGGAAACGCACAATGTTCTTTTTATAACATCTAAAATGAAAAACAAACGGAAAAAGCAGATCTAAACATTAAACTTAACCGGCGTTCAAGAATATTGGGGAAATTTTAGCGAGATCTAACGTCGAATTCTTTAGATAGTTTGACGTAAAGATTGACAAGACGACATTTTGACTGCTCACACAAAGCTTTAAGTGATGTTCTACCAATTTAAGTGTTATCTGTTAAGACTTTTTACAAAAATGTTAAAGTTATCAAATGACAGAAGACTCGTTATGTACATAGTGCAACATTGGTGCTGTTGTATACTTTGTTCTCATTTGGGAATGTATTATCGCTTGGATTGACAAGATTTACACTTTGTCTTATTCCTCTTACACATTTTCCAGGAGTGACCATGTTTCCATCTTTCTTTTGTCAATATTTCACTCTCGTTTCAACGAATTACAATTGGAATGCAGATATTGTTCACATTGGAATTTCCTTTATTTTCATACTCAAATCAAAATAATCGAAAAGTAAAAGAAACACACTCCGAATGTTAAAACCATTAATTTTATTTTTGTTTTGTTTTGAAATCAAGACCACTATCTCATCTAATTATTTATGGAACAGCTAATACTTGACATTTTGAGTATTTGAAAGTCAATATAAATTATTAAAATTTAGTAATAACATGTAAACAAAATTGAGGCAAAAAGGAAGATAACAAAACTATATCTAAAAGAAGCACATCTATAAATAACTATTGTGTTGTTTCATGTAAAAAATATAAATATTTCTATAAAAAAAAGAATTGAAACTAGATTTCATTGAGATGATCGCATGATGTCCCTAAACTTAAGTTTTGAACTCCTAAACTTTCTCAATAACTGGAAATCCTGTTAAAAGGCCTTGGAGTCCTTCATTATCCTCTTCATATTATAATATAAGTAAATGGTCAATATTAAGTATGAAGATTGCAAGAGAATTTGCCAACAAGTCCATCAAAATTGAGCACAGTCCCGAATCCCACTTCTGGATCCATAGATATGAAATCTTGTATATTGTTTGTAGAATCTGAAATAACAATGATAACAAATACAAATTATCTTCAAACTTTTGTAATTCCCAAATGTATTTTATTGTGAATTGTGTTTGGGCCTCAAATCTGATTACCGGGTAGTACAGATTTTGAGATTTTGCAGAAATAAATCAACTAGGAGTACTTATCATGAAATGAACATCAGTATAACTTGTGTATTTGAATCACAGCTTGCATTACAATTACTCAACTGAACCACTATATCAGTGACTCTCGTCGTGGTAACATATCTGAAGTCTGTAGACAAGAACACAATGGTGGTTTATATGAGTAACTATACCAGTGACTGTTGCCATGGTAACATATCTGAAGTCTGTAGACAAGGACACAATGGTGGTTTATTTGAGTAACTATACCAGTGACTGTTGCCATGGTAACATAGATGGATTCTGTAGACAAGTACACAATGGTGGTTTATTGAGACATTATATCAGTGAATGTTGTCACGTTGTCATAGTAACCTACCTGGAGTTTGTAGACAAGGATACGGTGGTGGTTCACTCAGCCATTGTTTGTTAGCATCTAACATGTGTGATCTGTCTGAGGCAAATGTAGATAAAAACTCGGATCCAGTTATCACACGAAATTTCCTGTAATATTAATTTTTTCATGGGGTTCAGTTTCAAATCACAAAAGAGTTAAAAGTTTGGTTGACAATTTGGTAACCATCGCTTGTTATCTAACGTTTGTTTTATGACAGTAGATACCCATGTGGCAACATTTTGCATGTTTGATCATTGCAGGTCCGAAGAATACCTGTCAATGTAACTGAAAAACGATCTTTCTCCCTTCATCTTTCTCTAATCTTTAAATTTGTTGTGGGAGGTATCTAATCACTATAACCTGTAAAACCATCAGTACTAGTAAAGTTGTCCTAACCATGGTACTGTCAAGTGCCTTCCATTTTGTTGAACAAATTTTGTTTCTTCATCAACCAATCATGTGAAATTGTTTCCTTGGCATTTGAATTATAGTCAGGGGTGGAGATTACCTACAACTATGGTACAGCAGAGAATGGAAGATTAACTTTTGGTGGTACAAGAGAGGATATGACCTAACTGTTGCAAATTAGAATGGAGAGATTACATATTTGTGATTCAGCAGAAGAGGGGAGATTACCTTCCTTTGGTACAGAACCTAAGGGAAGTGGAGATAACTTACGGTGCAGTAGCGGAGTGGAGGTTAGCCTATTGTGGTACTCTAGGGGAATGGGGATTACCTAAATGTGGTACAACTGGGAAGGGAAGGTTTACTAATTGTGGCACAGAAGGGGAGTGGAGATTACCTAACTGTGGTACAGTGGCTGAGGGGAGATTACCTAACTGTGGTACAGTGGCTGAGAGGAGATTACCTAACTGTGGTACAGTAGGAGAGTGGATATTACGTACCTGTAGTATTGTGTTTTTATTGTGCTATTAGGTCTGATCCCTTTTGCAGCATACTCTGTGAAGTTGCATGGAAATGGTAGGTCTGTATCAAGATCATAGACCAGTGAAATATCACCCTCATTGTAGACAAATATCACATGATAGTCCTACAAAAAATATCAAGTGGAAATCTTATAGATATCACATACCAGTAGGTAATATTTCACATAGTTATCCTAAAAATACTACATAATTATCCTAAAAATAATACATAATTATCCTAAGAATACTACATGATAGTGCTATAATTATCACATGATAGTCCTATAATATCACATGACAGTGCTATAAATATCACATGATAGTCCTATAAATATCACATGATAGTGCTATAAATATCACATGATAGTCCAATAAATATCACATGATAGTCCTATAAATATCACATGATAGTCCTATAAATATCACATGATAGTCCTATAATATCACATGATAGTCCTATAAATATCACATGATAGTCCTATAATATCACATGATAGTCCTACAAATATCACATGATAGTCCTATAATATCACATGATAGTCCTATAAATATCACATGATAGTCCTATAATATCACATGATAGTCCTATAATATCACATGATAGTCCTATATCACATGATAGTCCTATAAATATCACATAATATTCCTATATCACATGATAGTCCTATAATATCACATGATAGTCCTATAAATATCACATGATAGTCCTATAAATATCACATGATAGTCCTATAAATATCACATGATAGTCCTATAAATACCACATGATAGTCCTATAAATATCACATGATAGTCCTATAAATACCACATGATAGTCCTATAAATATCACATGATAGTCCTATAAATATCACATGATAGTCCTATAAATATCACATGATAGTCCTATAAATATCACATGATAGTCCTATAAATATCACATGATAGTCCAATAAATATCACATGATAGTCCAATAAATATCACATGATAGTCCTATAAATATCACATGATAGTCCTATAAATAACACATGATAGTCCTATAAATATGACATGATAGTCCTATAAATATCACATGATAGTCCTATAAATATCACATGATAGTCCTATAAATATCACATGATAGTCCTATAAATATCACATGATAGTCCTATAAATATCACATGATAGTCCTATAAATATCACATGATAGTCCTATAAATATCACATGATAGTCCTATAAATATCACATGATAGTCCTATAAATATCACATGATAGTCCTATAAATATCACATGATAGTCCTATAAATACCACATGATAGTCCTATAAATATCACATGATAGTCCTATAAAAATATCACATGATAGTCCTATAAATACCACATGATAGTCCTATAAATATCACATGATAGTCCTATAAATACCACATGATAGTCCTATAAATACCACGTGATAGTCCTATATCACATGATAGTCCTATAAATATCACATAATATTCCTATATCACATGATAGTCCTATAATATCACATGATAGTCCTATAAATATCACAATATTCCTATGAAGATCACATGACATTCCTATAAATATCACATGATAGTCCTATAAATATCACATGATAGTCCTATAAATACCACATGATAGTCCTATAAATACCACATGATAGTCCTATAAATATCACATGATAGTCCAATAAATATCACATGATAGTCCTATAAATACCACATGATAGTCCTATAAATATCACATGATAGTCCTATAAATATCACATGATAGTCCTATAAATATCACATGATAGTCCTATAATATCACATGATAGTCCTATAATATCACATGATAGTCCTATAAATATCACATGATAGTCCTATAAATATCACATGATAGTCCTATAAATATCACATGATAGTCCTATAAATATCACATAATAATCCTATAAATATTACATGATAGTCCTATAAATATCACATGATAGTCCTATAAATACCACATGATAGTCCTATAAATATCACATGATAGTCCTATAAATATCACATGATAGTCCTATAAATATCACATGATAGTCCTATAAATATCACATGATAGTCCTATAAATATCACATGATAGTGCTATAAATATCACATGATAGTCCTATAAATATCACATGATAGTCCTATAAATACCACATGATAGTCCTATAAATATCACATGATAGTCCTATAAATATCACATAATAATCCTATAAATATCACATGACATCTTATAAATATCACATGATAGTGCTATAAATATCACATGATAGTCCAATAAATATCACATGATAGTCCTATAAATATCACATGATAGTCCTATAATATCACATGATAGTCCTATATCACAAGATAGTCATATAAATATCACATGATAGTCCTATAAATATCACATAATAATCCTATAAATATTACATGATAGTCCTATAAATATCACATGATAGTCCTATAAATATCACATAATAATCCTATAAATATCACATGATAGTCATATAACTATCACATAATAATCCTATAAATATCACATAATAATCCTATAAATATCACATGATAGTCATATAAATATCACATGATAGTGCTATAAATATCACATAACAGTCCTATAAATATCACATGATAGTCCTATAAATATCACATAATAGTCCTATAAATATCACATAATAATCCTATAAATATCACATGACATCCTATAAATATCACATAATAATCCTATAAATATCACATAATAATCCTATAAATATCACATGATAGTCATATAAATATCACATGATAGTGCTATTAATATCACATAACAGTCTTATAAATATCACATTATAGTCCTATAAATATCACATGATAGTCCAATAAATATCACATGATAATCCTATAAATATCACATGATAGTGCTATAAATAACAAAGGATGGTCGGACAAGTAGCAGAAGATCTTTCAACATTACAAAAGGGGCCAAAAGAAATCATACATTTTTTAAGACAAACAGAAGAACAAAGAGACACATTGACTTGTATAATATCACTAATGGGTGACAAACTATTCTATCCTTCTCTTTGTTTAACGGGTAAATAAAGAGAATCCAATTAAAAAGTATCATTCTCTCTATTTAATAACAATGGCCTATACTTGAGTAAGAACATGGTTGTATGACAAACAATAAATAAATGAGAATAAAGAAGTTGCAGGCTTACCCACACTACAACACCATCAGGTGAATGACTAGATTTCTGGTGCCAGAGTGGTATCTATAAAGAAAATATATTGTCAAATTGCATCAATATTCATTCGTAGAGTGAAAACAATATAAGAATTTACTTTAATATTTTTTTCTTTTCAGTCCGATAAACTTACACACATTTTGAGCACTATGGCAGAACAAATATGATGAGTAAAGACAGTCTACTAAATAATAAATAAATTCATTAGAAATGTTTTCCTATTTACAACAAAAATCAAAACAAATACACCACCTGCTTGTTTTCATTAGATATAAACACACAGTAGCAATATGCCAGCCTGTCTGGATTTTTCTCCTTTACATGCTCACAGAGTTTCCACACATTTTCTTCACTGTAACAATTCAAACAAGCTGATTCAGAAATATTGAAAAACATTCAATTTCTCAACAATACTCTCAACAGAATTACTCAACAGCATAAATTATACAGCACAGAAATTATTAGGTCTGAAATGATGATACCATTCTCAGATCTGTTGGATTGTTTAAAATATTCTAATCTTCAGAGAGTTACCAAGGTAAAAGTATAAAAATATCAGGAGCTTGATGTCCCCTGTTTAAAACAAGTATACAATTGCCTGATATCAATTGCCATTCATTTGAAGTGTCCAAGTTATATTCATGGTTACATAACACAATGATGTGCAGTCTTTACTCCATTTTGGTAAAATTAATACCAAAAACCCCAATACCAAATTTTAGAATCATTTAGTGATAACCTGGTGACCATATCCTTAGAACAAATGCCCCATGGAAGACACCAGCTGAAAAATTAGATCACAATTTTTCTGGATCAATGTCGAATAAATAAGGATAAGCATATATGGTTAACCATAAGGCTTGTGTCCTCTTATGTTATTATTCAATGGTAAAAGAAAAAAAACCCAAACCACCTCAATCATTCCTATGACAGTTATGGTGATGCACTGACAACAAAGACGATAGAAGTTTTGTGGGAAAATATCTTACATGAATGTAGACTCCATTGTTTATACAAAAAAATATTTTATTTCACATGGCACTGCAAATGTAATCATGACAAATTACATAAAATGATAAGAAGGAAGCATGGGTAAAAAAAAATACCAGTGACATGTTATGTGATTGAGATTTCAATCAGTCCCAATATGCTTATGAGCAGCAGATTTTTCAGTCCTAATTTTAATGCAGATTTCAATGTAATCTACACATATTTTCAACAAAAAACCCTAAATAGAGATGTGTTGAGCATTGAAATTGGAAATACCAAGATCACAATAACAAAGCCTACATTTCTATATCAGTGGGTTGTCAATGATGTAGGCCACTCATCATGGTGAGTTAGCTTTTGTGTAGTATGTTGTGGCAAAAAGATGACAAATACCAGGGTGAATAAATTAAAATTGAGACATAAGCTATGGTGTCTTTTTGTTATGTTACTGCAAAAAGGTGACAAATTAAACAGGGTAAAAAGACAAATATTATAATTTTTTCAGGGTGACAAAATGAAATAATGAAATTGCATAATCAATCGCCATAGCTTTGATATCTGGAATGCAAGGACCATTAGATTTCAAAAATGGTCATATAGATATTTCTATAAAAGTGCATTTGTGTCCAGCTAATGATATCACGCATCCATTTCTTTTGATACTTTTCAGAATATGAAACATCAGCTGTTGAGAAAATATTAAAACCAGTAACATGCAGAATTGAATTAAAAGTTTATAGTAACCAGCCTACAGATGTATGCGGTATTCGACCCCGTCTAGTCATTGGGACATTGCATGTTACTTCTAGCAATAAGCCCTGTATAGAATATATATAAAACGAAAGTAACCAGGTTATTTACTAATACGTGTTGAGTAATCATGACTTACCAATAACAGCTGGTATATGTACATTTATCTGCTGTAGGAATGAGATCGTCTTTCTTTGTTTGGTCCATAATAAAATGCTGTGAGACAGCAACGTTTTATTTACTTTACACCGTGTTCCAAACGTCTCCGAAACCGAACAGTGAAACACAAGCATGACCACGACGTTGATCTGCCGATGATATCTTTAAAATGTTTGCTTTCTACGTGTTTTTAATGTGAAGCGTGCAAAGATTGCGTTGATCATGTGACTAGTATTTTATCCGTAAAAATGGCTTCCAGAAAGCGTCTAGGAAATCTTGCGTTGGACAAGACAGTGATCTTCGTGTGTGATATGCAGGAACGATTCCGCCCGGCTATTGCTTATTTCTCAGAAATAGTTGAAGTGGCTGGAAGAATAGTGAGATTGAATTATATTGTTTCTGTTAGACTTACTTTATTTAACGAAGCTGAGTACCGTAAATACATGTACATGTGTTACCCTTTCTTTATCGTCTCGTAACTGTGTTACGTAAGATATTGGCCTAGGTGACATAAGTATTTTCTTGACATTATTTTCTTATTCATTTTCATCGAAAATTTATTCCTATCCTAAATAATGATTTTATGTAAAATTTGTGCACTTCTTGGCCATGTCTAGACTTATTCAAGCATCTCTGTGATTTAGTAATGTCACCAGAAACAGGAGTGTAGACACGTATTTGACACACATGTCTGTCATTTCAGGCACACAGATTTATAGTGGTATTTGTGGATATCTTTCCGAAAAATAATGGTGTTTCATTGATCAGTTTATTGTTTAAATTTCATAGTATGAACACGTTTCTTATTAACATTAAGCCATGTATAGAATTTATATAATTTCATTCTAATTTTAATTTTGAGGTATTTGATTGGTTGCAACTCAACAACATAGCGTTGTTACCGAGATACGACTATTAAGTGGTCTGAAACTAAGGTGCCATGACTATGAAAAAAGGAGAAATACTAACAATGTTATTCTGTTAATACCCAATCTAGCAAACCATTATAATTTGGATACATGGTAGATAATGTGTACTGTAATGTGTTATAGCTAAGATGTTAAATGGATTAACCTTATATTCAAATGAATCAAGGCCTCCATCCTATTAATTATGTTACCTTCATTCTATAAGTTATGTTACCTTCATTCTATAAGTATGTTAACTTCATTCTAATAATTATGTTATTACCATTCTATAAGTATGTTAACTTCATTCTAATAATTATGTTATTACCATTCTGTTAGTTATGTTACCTTCATTCTATAAGTTATGTTACCTTCATTCTATAAGTTATTTTATCTACATTCTATTAGTTATGTTAGTCAATTAAAACCAGTGTTTTTTTTTCAGCTTGAAGCATCAAAGCTTTTGAACATTCCAGTGATTGTAACTGAACAAGTAAGTAATATTTTGAGTTTCATTTTGGTCATATAGATTTTGTTTATTTTTTAGTTTTAATGGTTTTATAGTACAGCTACTTGTATTGTCATTATGATCACAATACTGTTAAACTTGATCATACTTTCCTTACAAGAGAACACACATGTATAATTATACATTTACAAATGTCACATATAATTAAAAATCTTAATATTTTAGATATGGACTCTATTTTTACAATAAATGTGATTTTCTCTCATAAGGTTTATTCCATTAAGTATGTTTTTCAATCTTGTTATAGTATCCAAAAGGTCTGGGGAACACAGTGGCAGAGTTAGATATCAGTCATGCTGTTGGCAAGTTTGATAAGACAAAGTTCAGCATGATGTTACCAGAGGTGGAGGAGAAGCTGAAAACCCTATGTGGTGGAGATGTCCAGCATGTTGTGCTGTTTGGCATAGAGGTAAATTATTCTTGGATGTGACATCCTGGGAAAAGATTTGACAGGAAGAGTTAAGACATACATATACATGCGTTAGGTAAAGGAGAAATGTTTGTAGAGCTTTTCATATTCAGAGTAGATGTTATTGTGTTATAGCCAGAGGGAGGGAAGCAGAGCTATTGAACCCAGGATGGACGTTATTGTGTTAGTATTAGTCAGAGGAAGGAAACAATAACTTAGTGAGAGGTAGGAAAGCACAGGATTACGTAGAGCTGCTGAAATACAAAATGGGGTGTTATATTATAATGTGTTAAGTATTATAGGCCCGCAAGTTTCTAGCAGACTATGGTTTAATTCAATAGATACATTCTGTTTTTATCCTAGGCTCATGTTTGTATCCAGCAGACCGTCATAGACCTTCTTTCTCGAGACATAGAGGTTCATATTGTGGCCGATGCTTCTTCCTCGAGGAACCAGATGGACAGGTTGTTTGCTTATGAGGTAACGGTGCTTAAAAAGAAATGTTTAAAGAAAGGTCCATATAATTGATCCTTCTGCTCATAACAATGACAGGACAGGAAACGCCCAACAGTCAATCTACACTGGCATGCACTGTGCTCTCCATCCCATTTTCTATTCTTATGGCACATTTTGCTCTCTGCTGCGACTGTCTGTCTGTTTGAGCTTTGGGACCACAATGCAATATCTTGACATGATGATGTTCAAGCCAAGCTATGACAGGAATTTAACCTCTGTGTTCAAAGAAAGATAACTCCTACATTGTTAAACGTGTTGATGTGCATCATGTATTTTAGGAGAGATACAGTAATTTTCTGTGGACTTGTTTTATACATTGTTGTCAATATTCGGAAGCACGAAACAAATCCTATTTGATGAGACTTGAGAATATACAATGAATACACCAGAATTCTCAACCTTGATCTTCTGTCTTACATGGTCTGGTGACCAATCCAAAAACAACAAGGAAATACCAACATGTCAACACAATCATGATCCAAATGAAAATTAAAAAAAAAAAAAAGGTCAATTTACGAATAAAAGAAAGATTAAAATGGAGATTCCTGAGAAAGTACAAGGAAAATAAGGCCAGGTGTTCTAGAAGAGTAAGCTCTTCTGTTCCATCGACGACACCTGCCTTGTAAATCTTGGTCAATCCAAGTAAATAGTGTCACATTCTCAAAAGGAGAACAAGGTAAACAACAATGGAGCCAACAGGCAAAATAATGAGCATCAAACATTGCCAGCTTCATATTGCACAAAGAAATAGAATATTACTCAATGAGATAGCTATTATGACGGTTAAAAATAGAATAGCTCTCAATGAGATACTTATGATGACCATTAGAATAGAAAATCTCTCAATGAGATACCCATGATGACCATTAGAATAGAATATCTCTCAATGAGATACTTATGATGACCATTAGAATAGAATATCTCTCAATGAGATACCTATGATGACCGTTTAAAATTCAACATAATTTCTCATGAACATTTACCTTTCGTCTAACTTTGTCTCGTGACCAATCCATTTGTCCTCCCCCTTCCTCCTAGTTTAGATGGAATCAACATTTTGAGGTTTGCTACCACTTGCTGGTATAACATATAACAGTCCATTTTCTGGGAATCTCATCATATCATGGATGTCAACTGTCAAACCCAAATCTCCTGCTTGCTCCAGATTTGGACATGTTAACAAGTTTTTGTATTTTGGAATTGTTCCTTTACTCCGTCTGCCACTGTGAGTTTTCCTGGTATATATCTTTTAACGATACCGGTAACCCTCTCCTCAGCAAAGTGAACATACGGCACTATCACTGATACGTCAGGAGAACAGACTTGAAGGACTCTGCTGTTCATAATGTCTTGATTTCAGGAAGTTGCTAAGTCTATCATGTCCCTCTTTCAGATGTTGCCCCATGATATTTTCTGTTGTTTCACACCCTCCTATTGATTCCAGCAACGCTGCTTCTACATAACGACAGCTTTCGGCTGTCTAGCAATCTTATCCTTCACCCTGAGACAAGTCCTATATCGTCGGTGGTTTACTCTACCCTACCATGCTCTTAATATGACTACCAGGTCAAAGACATCATGACCAGGAAGCCACAGTCCCAACAATGTTTCCATGCTGGGTCCGTAACTGAAATGTTCATTGCTGCTTATCATATAATTCCCTTCCGGTTCAGGTTTACAACTTCTATGAGAACTTACTGTTCCCCTCTGCTGGCTGACTAGTTTTTGTTTTCATACAAGGCCGAATGCATTGAAGCGCTTATCAAAACAGGTCAAAAAGACCTGGCAAAGTCGTTTAATTTCATTTTTAGATATACGGATGATTTTTTGTCATTAAATAACAAGAAAATCATTTACCACGTCTATTGTATATACCCACCAAAGCTGGAAATCAAAGACACGACAATTCTTCTCGATCAGCTGCTTATCTCGATCTTTTCCTACAACGAAACATACATGGACAGCTTTCCATCAAACTGTGTGATAAACTTGATGCTTTAAATTTCCCTGTTGTGAATTTTCCATTTCTGGATAGCAACATCCCTCTATCCCAAGCATATGATGTGTACACGTCGCAGTTGATTTGATATTCTATGGCCTGTTTCCATTATCATGATTTTCGTTAAGAAGTCGTCAACTGACGGACAAACTTGTAACAGGTTTTCAAAAGATGCAGGTGGCTGAAAATTATGGGGAAGTTTTACGATCCTGATAGTGATCCAATTGAGAAATATTGTATTTCTTGGTGCAATATGAAGCTGGACATGTTTGACGCTCGTTACTTTGCCTGTTGGTTCCGTAGTTTAATACCTAGTTCCCACTGTCCATCAACATGATGGCTTCTCACACCTCGATCACCTTGACCTCTTTCGCTCACGTAATGCTTAGATATCCACAGATACTGTCTGTTACTTCGTAGATAAGAAATCGCGACAGGAGTCTGAGAATTATACCATGATGGTGTATCTTGACCCTTAAATGTTCATGGAACTCGACAGCCTTGATTCAGTCGTCACTTTACCTTCTCATCCCTTCGGCACTGTTCCTGTCATTCAAAAATCGTAGAACAACTTGTCAAGGATCTTCCCTACATGTAGCTTCTTGTTCGATATCATTCTTGCAGGTCTTTCTGCAACTACATATTCACTGCATATTTCTCCCATCTCTGTCATTCTCAGACTTTTTCAATGGCATCCTCCGAAGGATCGCCAGCAAGGCTGATGACCCCTATTGCATCAGATGCTTTCACAACATTCTCGATTGTCCTGGTGTATGCCTTCCGGCATTATTGTCTTCCTGTCTCTCAGTGTGTCTGTTGACAACTCCATCTCTTCTCCCTGTATTACAAGTTTTGGCAAATTAGTGAAATGGTCAATTCCCGAATCCACAATCAGTAAATAAGCAGCACACGGAAGTTGTAATTAGCGCGATATTTTATTGCAGCACTTTCAGCACGAAAGGGTGGTAAAATAAGATTGCCGCTAAAATATACATCTTCACAGTATTAGTATTTGTAAGTTTAAAACCTAATTCTGTTTCAAGATTTGAAAGTTTAATTTACGGTAAATAATGTTCTCAGCCCCAATATATACATTACCTTTTTTTTCTTTCACAAACTCTCACTCGAACCAAAACCATAACCGTACTCTTACACAATCTATGTACCAGCCACATTTTGTGTTTAGTTTTGTCTTAATAAGTCCCGGTATTGCTTTATATATAGATTTACTTCTCTGTCTGTCGTTATGATTGCTAGTTGTATTACGTATTATGTGTTTAAACGTTCTTGATTTTTAATGTACGAATCTATGTTGTATTTCAGCGGTTCCGCCACAGCGGAGCAACCGTGACCACCAGTGAAGCGATCCTGTTACAATTTATAGGAGACAAAGACCATCCGCAGTTTAAACCCATCCAACAATTGATCAAGAAAAGTGCTCCGGACTCTGGTCTTGTCACCAAACTTTAGATCATTTAAAACGATCCAGTCAGAAAAGTGCTCCGGACTTTGGTCTTGTCACCAAACTTTAGATTGTTTTAACCCACTCATTAGCTCACAAAGAAAAATACTCTAGACTCTGGTCTTGTCTCGCCACCACAGATCATTCTGCGCTTGTATACATATGTATATTATTTGTATCAAGCAACACGTGATATTGATGGTATTAATTTAAGAAAACTATGCATTTTAAGATCAGCATGTTCTTTCGCATTTATAAATCTGGTAGATACTATCTCCTTGTTGTTTTACTATTTGAATTTCAGATGAGATCTACTTTATCTGTTTTGCAGGCAAAAAAACAAAAAACACTGAAGAAAATGAAAAGCAATGTAGACCATTCTGCCAAATTAAAGGTTTAACTGTAATAAATACTACTGTATGTTTATGCTTCATACGATGATATCTCCATCACAATGAAAAGATCGTACATTATACCTGTGCAATCATGTTTGTTTAAGGTTCAAGTGTAATAGTGTTTGAAAGAGGAAGGCGATGAGTTAGTGATGCTTTTTCACATTGTAGTACACATATTCATTGAATCATCAATCATTCGTGTAAAACTTTGTTTTGAAGCCATTTATGGAACAAATATATGTGGAATTAAAACAGTTTTTTATTGTAGTATAACATTTGGTGCTTGACTTTATTGCTTGATGTCCGTAGGCATACATACATTTGTAGCATAAACTAGTATTTGCTATAAGTCTTTTATATAGATAAGGACGCGTATGTAAGTTTTACTTCCTTCCATACAATTGGAACCGGAACAAACCCGAATACACTATAAGCATCGAAATGTGACTTAAATAGATAATCATGTTCTAAACGCGATCAGTAGCAAGACAGCAAAACGTGGTTGAGTGAGTGGGTGTTGAGTTTCGGATGTTAACGTTGGCAAAGTGTCAAACGAATGTGTGCGTTTAGAGGTTTGAAAGTGATATTTGTCACTGTGGTGAAGCATTAATTAATATCAATACGTAACCAATTATCGATGTTTTAAACAAATAAATATTATTATAGCTTTGCACATGTTGCATTTCGAGCAATCTCATGTCCTTCACGGACCAATGAAATCTAGCAGCGTTGTTTACACATCATTTTATAGATTTGAATTGAATTCCATCATAATGCACATTTTATTTATGGCGTTGTATGTAAATGGTCTAACCAAGAAAGTGGTATAACAAAATTCGCGTTGGGTCAATCTGTTGATATAACATTTGATACATTTTCTTGTTGTGATAGACGAACGCTATGAAATCTTTTTACATTATGACCTGTTAAAGTAAAATTAATAATTACAAAAATGTAATTTATATCAGACAACAAAACAATAGCATGTTTTAATACAGAAACATACACAGCTTCAGGCAGTTGTTCGACGAAGCCAAAAAAAATAAATGACAATAACATGTTAACATAATCGTAATCTAGACTCATATCCTGTAAAACTAGGGCAAACTATGACCAAAGAAAGATTTACAAGGTGACTCTTGAAAAAGCGCAAGGAGAATAAGACCAGGTCTGGAAGAGTAACCATCATCTGCTTCATCGACACCAGCCATGTCACCTTCTCAAATGATAACCAGGTATACAATAACGGAACCAACAGGCAAGCTAACGAGCATCAAACATGTCCAGCTTCATATCGCACAAAGGAATGGAATATTTCTCAATGAGATCATTATGACGACCGTAATATATCTCCCCATACTTACATCAACAAATTTAACATTGACACCGTAGAACTTTACATTTGCGAAAATGTTGCGAATATAAACTGATTAATCCGAAAATTGTATAATGGTTTAAAATACCGAAAGAGAACAGGGATGTATATATCACATGTTACAATGGTAATTGTCTGCTAGTCTTTCGGAGATCTCTGCTCCAAATGCATTGAAAAATATATCGAAACATCACAGAAGATCGTCTCTTCTGTAGTTTAACTGTTTTGAGCAAAGTTAAATTATTATGGGAAAGATAGTTTTCTTGTCAATTCGACTATTTACTGAAAATCCATTATAGATGTTCAAATACAAACTATCTTTTAAAACATTTTCTCGAATTTAAGCACTTGCCCAAAACCAATTTTGTTAGTGTGCAAATATTTTAAATCGCACAATGTTTATATTAAAGGGAGTAAATGGTTAGATTTCGTTTTTTCCATGCGTTTGATTACGATCTACTGCCAATCAGTGTTTTGATAGCCGAGTTCATGTGACTTTTCGGAACCATGTTTTAACCCGCCGTTTTGTTAGGATTTCTAATTTGCATGCGCAAAGACATTGTTATGAAATGAAAATCTAACTATTTAGTCCCTTTAAAGTAACGAAATATTACCATAATTGTACAGCAATGTCAAAATATTAAGGACCTTGTATATTCCAGCAATAATATCAATTTAAGCAAAGATAAACGAAATTAAATTATCATTTTGAACCGAATTGCCCAGTATATTTATATAAACTGTGTAATATATATGTGTGTGTCCCGTCATCACATTCTTCTGTAGAGAAGATCGGGATTGATGTGCAAAGGGTTTTATGATATATAATCATAAATGTCCGTTACCATAGACACCGGTTTAAAATTGATTAATAGACTTGAAACATATTATTCATTGAAACCTACAACATCTAATACATATAGATCATCACCTATCGAACGCTAAAGAAAAACTTTTATGTCAAACAGGATGCAGATGCTCAATACTATCTTTTTATGCATGAGCCCAACTTCTCACACTCTTGTTACGAAAAGTAGGAAACACGTTAGATGTCTTTTACAATGGTCCAAGTTATCGCGGTTTAACTAAAAATATGACACACACTACATACATTTTTACAATGGTCTAGGCTTTCGCGGTTTTAATTATGAAACACACGGGATTTATTTTCCCAATGGTTCGAATTGTCACATATGACATACTGCATATATAACGGCAGTCGTGGTACGGACCATGATTTTCTCTACTCTGTTTTGTTTAACGATTTTTACTCCGTCCACGAAAATGGCGAAAATAACTATTACAGCAGTATTCATCACAAATAATCCTAAACCCTTCAACAGCAGCATTATCAGCTATATTTTCAGTAAACTACTGTCAGATATTAGTTCAGCAAGTAACAACCTTTACATCAATACTTTCGATACTTTCAAATGACCAGGCCATTTTTATGTTTAGTTTTGCAACTCGATAGCAAAACTCATTATAAAGATTTCTGGGTAACACACTGACAAGTTTTTTTTATCTACCTGGTCTTATTTTCCATGTACTTTTTCAGTTGTCTTCGTGTAAATCTTTCTTTTGTTCATATATTTCCGTAGGATTATGGAATTTAAGTTTGATTTTGGCATTATCAGCATTTTCTGTTCTGGTTTTTGTATACGTATATGTGTGGATATGATGATATCATTTTACACAACTAAGACTTATACCGTTACATTTGACAATCCCCTATTGTTATTTGATTACAATAATAACATATCATACTGCATGGAGGGAATGTGTAAACTGTTAACTTGTTTGTTACATAACATGTTATCATTTCAAACATTTAAAGAACGAAAAACGTGATATATGTCTTTGTTTTTGTGATTAAACACACAGAAAATGTATTTGTAATATATTAAATGCCGACTGTAACGGATATTATGTATGCTCTTTCATATGGAATAAGAAAATCAAACAAATAAAACCTGAAACATTTGCTTAATTTGTCTAAGCAAATGTGCCATTGGTAATATTGCTGTCCAAATTCAGTTACTGGTACATGGCATTCCCCTTCCGGAACACCTGGTCTTATTCTCCTTGTACGTGTTCATGGGTCTCCTTAAATCGTCCCTTTGAAATCTAGTTTCATTGGAAGCGAATTTGTATATTCTTTGTTGTTTTATTATTATAAATGATGTGATCCAAAATGGTCATACTTCTGTATCATTATTTGAAATAAAAGCTTCCGAATTCAAATTTAGCTAAATAATTATGTTGCCACTTTTTAAAAGTGTATAACTTGTTTCAAGCAGTTCACCGTGTGAAGTTGTGGCCATGAACGTACATTTTGTACATATTAGTACTTGAATGAATAACGACATTGTTTGTAACAATAAGATTGTACTGATGCGAGCATGTGATTGCCTCGTTCAATTGGACTCATGTTTTCCATTTTCATTGTAAGTGTGACATATGTGAAGTTTTATCGGTATGATAAAGATTCCGGAATGCGAACCCGTATACATGTAAAAAGACTAGGATATCGTGTCATTGTTGACCTAGTTGCTCTTATCTGTCCTCAGTGTAGACCGTTATATGCGCCAGGATTGTCCTCGGTGACACTGATAAGAATCTCCTGGTGCATATCCTTACAATGGACATAAAGACAGTACTGTTATTTTCAGGCCTCCTCAGTCTGGCGCTTTGGTGAGCTGACTTTCTTTCTATTCTGATATTATTTTCTCATTTATGTGATGAAATGTTTACTGACTTTTCCAAAATCACATCAAATCATACGAACTAATACCAATGAATTACGGGAATCACATACCAAGTTCAATTGAAGGATTATTTGTGGTATGCAAAGATATTGTAGTTAATTCTAGATAGGTGTTGCATGGTGTTATTAAGTTGTATTTCTTTAGTACGGTATTGATATATAAGACAATCTCAACTAGACCTGTACTTTTACTGGACAAAGGAATACCAGAACGCAAAGTTCCTGCAGTCAACGTCACGTTGATAAGTCTTTTTCAGTACAGAAGATTTTAATGCATATTCCTTATCACTTTGGCTATAAGAGCAATTCTCACCTCTGGTTTCTACGACGTGACTTCTGTAAGACTGAAGTTTTACATTTCTCTACCCCTTCAATTCCTCACTTTTCTGAATGCTAACTCTGAATAGTGGGATGTTTTTGGAAAGTAGGTTTCCTAGTAGCTTTTGTAGATTTACATCTTTCCACACTACAATATGTTTCTCTATCACCACCTTAACTTGTGTAAAGGCTTCTATATATAAAAATGTTTCCACTACAGCGCTGACCACAACCACAATCCAAGTGGTGGTATGTTAATACCAGACATTGTAGATCGTCTGTGGATTAACTCCGACGTCAATGACGATGATCACCTCAGTGAGACGGAGTTCTTTAGGGAGTTCATCGATAACTTCGACCATGACGGTAAGGTCTTCTATTCCCTATTGCCGTGACACGTTTTAAGGGTTTAAAACTTTAATCCATTATGTTTTAAAACTCGCATTAATGTAAAGTTTAAATGGGTCAGACAAATTATTACTATGAACAACATGTACCGCGTATCTCATTGGTTGAATTGTTTTTGTTTTCACTTCCTTTACTTGCAACTAACTGTTGTTAAACTTTGTAGCAACATATCGTTCTACAATTTAAAAACAAAAATACATAGACTATCTCTTCATACGTCATATTAGTACAAATGTCGTTCTTTCATATAGCCTACAAACATTTTAATTTACCTTACAATCCGAAATGTATGAACTGATCTGATATATGTCAAATGTTTGAACCAGGTGGTCAGTCGGTGAGTGAGACCGAGTTTGTACACCAGTGGACCCACAATTACCACGAGCATAAAGACGTCACGCTACACGTGTTTCAACACTTCGATTTGGATGGAGATGGCACCCTGACCCAGAGTGATCTCAGCAGACTTTTTCACCACATGGACTACAACAGTGAGTAAAACCTAGACAGCCTTCACGATTGTCATCCTCTAAAATAGCTTATGTCATCGGTGTTAGAACTATCAAGATGTTCAGGGTTTCTCTTTATGTCCGTCTCACTGCAGTTGTCAACGTTAACTTTCTTGATGAAAAACTTGCTGATCTGGGTTTGTATTAAACCAAGGACATGTATACAGATCTGTATCTAAGACTGTGGTTCTTACTTTTCGTACTCATTTCCGACCATTTGTCCTGTATTTCACGGAACGTTGCACCCGTCTCCGTTTCAATGCTTTTTGTTGTACATTAATATTGTATATGTGTTCTTGTTAGTCGTTGATATTATGATTGACTGCAGAAGTTCTAAACAGTTTTCTTTTTTGAAGGACTTTTTACACCATCGAAAATAATACCAGCCGTTTGTATATTACGATTTTATTTTAGAGATCTTCAGGTTTGATGGTTTGAAGGTAAACATTATTGATGCATGATCGTTGTATTTGTAGTGGAAACGTCTACCGCCCCTCTTGGTCACGTGACTTGTTGTTCATGATGTTTATATTATGTTATTGACGATTATGTCCTTGTGTAAACGCTGAGAGGATGTCCTTGTGATTTGACACTTTGCACTTATACCAGCATTATAACATATCTATATCGGGATACAGCAGATGTTCGCGTTACATCATCAGATAATAGATATATATTTTCTTAATATTTTCTTTTCGAATAATCCAAATGTTCTGTTTTACCAGCTGACACGCAGATCAGCAAAGCTGAATTCACCACCTTGATGGCTTACGTGAGTATCCACATCACGTTCTCTGCATTCCTTAAATATTCTCTCGGCATCATTTTTTCATTTACTTGTACTCAATAGTTTCCATACAGCATTGACCTCGTCGACACTTCTAGTGTACCATCATCATTTCCTATTCAGCAAACCACTAGACTCACCTTTGGTGTATTTACAAGTGTTCCAATATTAAATCTATAGAATATTGAGATTGAGACATAACTATAGGTAAGTGAAACGGTGTTTCATGCTGCTCCTTTTATCGTTTTTGAGATTGATTCTTAATACAAATGTTTAAATAGATAGGTTTGATTTTCTATTGTTGTTCTTGGAAATTTGATCTACATGCACTTGAGCTAGTTCTGAATGGAGCATATATAGTCAGACACCATCTTCTCTCGTCATTTATGTTCCAATTAAAACGCCATGACGACTGTAGAGCTAGTTTAGAAGTTTCCTCAATTGTTTATAAGTTTTCTAAATTGTTTATAGTTAAAACTGGTTTCCGCTTCTGGGTGTTTCTCTACAATATGGTGGTTCTAACCGTTGTGTCATTTATATACTTTAGGTGTTTGGACGTCTCCCCTACAACTGATCTGTGTAGGACCTGTAAAACAACCAGTCAAAGGATAAAACGAAGTAATAAATAAAATATAACGTACCGTAACAAAGTTGATGCTTGTGTTTATGAGAAATGAACTGTTAGTTTACGTGAAAACTTCCTTTAACACAAACAAGGTTGGTCTGATATTTAATGTAGAAACGTCATGTTGTCTGTCACCATGGTAACGACCACCAAGGAACCACCAATTAATGTAGACAGACTTTTGAAACTCATTTTAGATGTTTCGTTTTTCATTTTGTAGTAAGTGGATCCCCATTACCAGCTTGGAAAAGAGTTCTAAGCTTAATATTCTTTATCTGTATATAGTATTTCACGGGGTGATTTGTTAATCCAGCAACTTTCAGTTGGAGCGCAATCAATTGATGTGTCTGCGACTCGATAAAGTTGGTTTAACACTTTTACAGCTTCAGACTGGTTGATTCTAAGGCTTTCATTAAAGGTTAGGCTTGCAGCGTGGTGTCCATGAATTCCTGTATCATTGAATACACAATAATGCTAGGTTCATCCTCCCATGTCTTGATATTGATATTATTTTACGGTCTAATGAAACAGTGGTATTTCTAGTCAATAGCTTTTCTATTATGAATGAATTTCTACCTTTGGCACTCAAAATATTTTCTCCTCTGATACGGGAGGAGAAAGGACACTACTACAAAATTGTGATAGAATCATCTTAATCTGAAGCTGCCCCTGAGGTGATTCTTCACTAGTAGTTGAGTTGGTTAGAAAGTCTGATTCCGAATGCCGATCCATCTTATAATCTGTCTAGCGTTCGTAGCATGATTCCTTTATCAAAGGTGAGAAACAGCGCGAATACCTTGAAACAGTCGGCTTCACTGTGCCTTTCCATTGTATACAGTTTGCCGAGATCTACATTTTCGACTTTAACACTCGGCCGAAACAAAACGAATCACGTTTACCAACACATAGATTGTTCACACCATCGTTCTAAACAAATGTATATCCGTAGTTCTATCTGGAATGATTGATCTCGGCAACATTGGCGTTTTGTCGTCAGCGTTGATGCCCCTGTGTCTATCCAGAAACAGTGTGCCTCAATCTAAGCAACACTGTACCTTCAAGATCAAACTGTTGACATGCAATATACGTATTCACATATACTATTGAGTGTGATGAATCAAAGGAATACTGCTGGAAAGAATGAAAAGCATACCGAGATTGAATTCTTGACTTTAGTGTATCAATAGTTCTCAGTCAAAATTCTTTAAAAAATCGCCCGTTCTTAATGAGCTGTTAGTCGTAGCTTCTTACTTATTGGTAAGTGAAAAAAAAGAAACACATTTTTTCTGAATATACCTTTTAATTCAAAGGAACGTTCACAAATACACTATACAAGAATGACACAGTTAGCCCGATAGATTAGGAGTAATAACAGCAATCCAACTCACAAACTTTCACTTGATAAACCCCCCAGCTTCCCAAAACATACATGTAATAGTGTCACTTGATATGTATGGCCCAACCATTCTAAGTATAGGTAAGAGAGTGGACAGTCAGCACCTGTCAATTATCGTAGCAGTTTCCACGGTAACAGAGATGAGGGCGGGTCTTAAAACTACGGCCATCATATAACTTCGTGTTCAAATGTGACGTATAGCGGGTCACAAACAAATAAAAATCTGCAACTTTGGCACATTTCAGATTTTTAAAATAAAAATAATAATAACAATTTGCCATTAATTATTCATAAATATTTTTAAAATGTTAATTTTTTGTTTGTCTTCAAAATATTATAAATTAAACATCTACTCTAAAATTTTCCATCTAATCTAATACAAGTAGAAACGCAGCAGTGCACAAATTTTTGGGAGTTTCTTTATGTTAAAGTATAACAATTACATACACCAACATGTACTTTGTATAGGTAGCATTTAAAGCTAGGTACAAAATGTATCTAAATCCCCAATGGGTTTGTAAAATTGAAAGACAATAGTCGTTTTTTATAACCTTTGTTCTCATTAATATGCGAGATGACAACACATGCATTATAAGCAAACTATCAGTCTACACAAGGTCAAAAAGATTAAAAGCTGTTTAAATTGTTAACCTCTGACCTCTACTTTTGGTGACACGATTAAATATGGCTACGATCAAGAAACAGTTAAAACACACGGCCCATCGAACCTGTTGTAAATCTTTATACAAAAAACATATATCACCGCTTGTCTGTTGTATTCTAAAAACATAAATTATTTCAGATCTTTGAAGAAATATACAAAATACTGATAGAATGAAATAAATATCAGACTTTTTTTATATTTTATAATATAAATCTATCTCTGACACTACATTTACTACTGGTTAACTATTTTGAGATCAAAATTAGTTTGTTTGGACTGAAACTAGTATTAATCAGCAGAAGATACAAATTACAGGCTATGACTAAAGGCTACAGCCTCACTAGGGACAGGACTACAGACTACAGCTGGAATTACGTGGAATAACCAAGTCTTACTGGGGCAGAAGACCAGTTTATTGAAATTTCCAGTTTCATCAGAGGGTAACACAACAAACGTTTTTACAATTTTTCTTTCCTTTGATTTCAAAAGTAAGATTTTGTCCAATAAAAACCAAAAGTAGTGGTAAGTTATTTTAAATGATTTCAGCAAGAACTTACGAAGTCAAGGAAAGTGTTCTTTCCCCAGCATAACAAGCAAAACTTTGTAATGTTTTTTTGGATGAATGACAGAATTTACGAATTCCAAGGAAATTTTTAGATGCAGTCTTTGTCGAAATAGGCAACTGTAGTCTACCCTATTTGAACGAGAGGATAAACTTTCAAAGAGGATGATTTATGTCCTGGCTCTACCTTAAATTTCTTAGGTCAAAACAAACAGTAAATCATTTGTTGGCCTCTGATGTGACTAACCACTACAACTAAACTAAAGGTCCGGACAGATCAGGGATATAGGACTCCAGGTGAGGATGTTACACACAAGTTATAGGCAACACAAGATACAAAACATATCCCTGTGAGACAGGGACTTACTACTACCGAACTTCAAGTACTCTTAAGGTCATGTGCCTGACCAGAACTCTCAAGGTCATGTGCCTGACCAGAACTCTCAATGTCATGTGCCTGACAAGAACTCTTAAAGTCATGTGCCAGATTAGACCTCTGAGTCACGTGTCTGACTCCACTTCTCAACATCGTGTGTCAAACCATGAAATAAAGCATCTTTAACCATTTTCTGTATTACTCATGTTGTCTCATGTTTTCAAAGAATGTCGTAAAATTATGTCAGATAAGAACTATCAAAACATTTTTCAATTTCAACTACATTAGGCAAAGTGTCTTTTATCTGAAATCGAATGTTGCCTTTGTCAAAAAAAGATTTGGATTTTCTTAAAGTCAAACCAACCAGAGCTCCAGACTAAAGTCACATGACCAAGAAAACCCTGGGATACTTAAAGGGTTATTGTCACTACTATAAATAACACGTATTATATGCACACTTAAAAAAGAATGCTACCCAAGTGCTGTTGTAGGCGATGGGTATAAAACATCACTTGAATATATGTTTCTACCAAGTTTTTTCCTATTACTACTTTAATAGTCAAAAGATTATATGAGTACTGGATTTTTCCTATTCTATATTCACAATGACAAAACACACAAAATGTTCCCTGAGATCTTGTGTTTCATGGCAAACATGCAGGCCTGCAAACCTTATAAAATTCAATAAATAACTTAAAAATTAATGTAATACTAGTTTCAGTCCAATTGTATACCCTATAAATACAACGAATAGCGCTCCATTTGTTCAAAATGGCTCCCTCAGAAAAAATGCCTGACAATGGAACTCTTCTGACAACGGAGGTTATATGAGGATTTTTGTTCCTTCCCTACATATAAATATGTACATGCAGACCAGCAAACCAACTTTCCAAACAAAACTACATTTTGACCGATGTTTTTACTGCACAACCACAAAGAAATCTCACACAACCATAATAGGGACAGGGAATTTAACAAAACCAATTAGGGTCAGAATCTATTGTCATATTACAGGAAAGAATTCTGATACAACCATAAGGACTTGAATCACGATACAACTATAAGGACCATAAATCTGATACAACCATAAGGACCAGAATTCTGATACAACCATAAGGACCAGAATTCTGATACAACCACAAGGACTTGAATCACGATACAACTACAAGGACCATAAATCTGATACAACCATAAGGACCAGAATTCTGATACAACCATAAGGACCAGAATTTTGATACAACCATAAGGACCAGAATTCTGATACAACCATAAGGGTCAGAATTCTGATACAACCATAAGGACTTGAATCACGATACAACCATAAGGACCAGAATTCTGATACAACCATAAGGACCAGAATTTTGATACAACCATAAGGACCATAAATCTGATACAGCCATATGGACCAGAATTCTGATACAGCCATCAGGACCAGAATTCTGATACAACCAAAAGGACCATAAATCTGATACAACCATAAGCGTCAGAATTCTGATACAACCATAAGGGTCAGAATTCTGATACAACCATAAGGACTTGAATCACGATACAACCATAAGGACCAGAATTCTGAAACAAGTAGAGTGGAAGTGAATCTATTACAGCCAAAGGAGCATGGAATCTATTATATACATCAAGTTTGGGACCATTATACAACCAAGAAACTTGTCAACTATAGAGGCCAAGAACCTTACACAACTAAAGGGACCAGGAACATTATACAAAACCTGTAGGGGTAGGAACCTTATACAACCAAAGGACCAGGACCCTTATACAGCTGTAGGGGCCAGGAACCTTATACAACCAAAGGACCAGGAACATTATACAAAACCTGTAGGGGCCAGGAACTTTATACAACCAAAGGACCTGGAACATTATACAAAACCTGTAGGGGCCAGGAACCTTATACAGCTGTAGGGGCCAGGAACCTTATACAACCAAAGGACCAGGA